AATGTATTTTAGGTTACTTTTAAAGTATAACAGTTCGTCTGGGGAAAATAAAGGCTTACTTAATCGGAACATTCATAACATCGATCGACCTATGTTCAGCTTAATAGTCATGCCTGAATACGAGGCCCGATCAGAAAGTTTCTTACCAAATGCTCTCATTTTTGTTTTGTTTTGCTAGTAAGATGAAATAAATAATTTATTAATCGATTAAGATTTACAAAAAATATAGAGTTTATAACTTTATGTATTCGAAATCAGGCAGGGTGGAGCAGCTGTTTCACTTTCAGTTTCTGTACTAAAGTTGATTTGATACGTACATATGTACGGGGCGTATGAAGACTCATTACATGCCCTCAAAATAATTTCCTCCGAAGGAGATGCACTTCCTACATCTACTGACATGATCTCTGAATACATGAAGGAGATATTCATTGGAATCAGGTATTTTCTTGAGTTGCTTTTGAAGTCTTCGATTATTAATTTATTGTCGTCGACGCTCAATCCACGGAAAGGCTTTATTGTCTCATGAAACAAATAGTAATCACATGATGCAAGCATGCCACTCATGAACAGATTCACGAGACAAGACCCATTTAAATACATTCTGTATTTTCTATAGTGTATTTTACACAAAATTGAATGTCTGTACGCCGTTTAACTCTTATTAGTACAGTAGATTCTTTCACTCAATTTAGAAATCAATTAGCCATGAACAAAATTTCTGCCAATCAAAAGTGAGTGGATGCCACATATTGTGACTTAAATATTATGATATCACATAAGCAGTGTTGTGTAACCATAACAACATTTCAGCTGAACACATTTTTTCAAAATAATACAAAATCTGATGATACAGGGTGTCCACAAACAGGACCGAAGAAAAACTACAGCGCTTTACAAAAAAATGCTCCAAGTGAGCACTTCTCCTCTCTATGCACAATTGAATCCGGCGAACTGAAAGTTGTTGATGACGACCCTCCTACACACACACTTCTTTTTAAATGGAAAATTGATTTCAAGTACAGTTGAACAGCTTACATCCTCCTGATAAGTGTCCATTGGATTTTTAAAAACGCACAGCCTGGGTGGCAATAAGCAAACATGAAATCATCGGTCCCTAATTCGAAGATGACTGGGGACTTGCTATCACAAGGACACGGACCGTTATATTAAAGTTAGGTTCGTTCGCCGGATTCAATTGTGCATAGAGAGGAGAAATGCTCAATTGGAGCATGTTTTTTGACTCAAAACTGTAGGTAAATTATCGTCAAACTTTCACAACAAAAGTCACTGGATGAACTAAATAATTCAGAATATGCAAAAATGACCGAGTTATAAAACATTTCTTCGGTCCTGTTTTTTGGACACCCTGTACAAATACATGTATGTATGCGACTGCTTTAAGAGATAAGAGGATCAGTCTTAAAACACTGCTATTCCATTCTCCCTTAAATTTGGTTGCTTTGGCAACCTCTTAATCAACAGTAAACATGTAATACTGGAAATAATATGTGCCTAGGTTATCGGGTTATATAACCTCTAGAAATAAAAAATGTTTTTAATGGAAGCACTGAAACTGTGAAGTCTGTCGTTGATATTACAATTGCCTACCTGCTTCACTATCCAGATGTACAGACGAAGGTAAAAACATTTCCCTAATGTGTTTGTTAAATGGTGTTCGCGTTTCATATGACATAACGCATATGGTCCCTGATTATTTTTGATTTTAGATACATGAGCAGATAGATGAGTTGATAGGTAGAGACCGTCTTCCTACATTATCTGATAGGGAGAACCTGCGCTACGTGGAGGCTGTTTACTACGAGGTGATGCGCCTAAAGCCACCAGTCCCGCTCTCAGTTCCACATGTATGTACTGAAGACACCACTATCGCAGGATACGACATACCAAGTGGAACAATTGTTATGCCAAACATTTACGCTGCACATCGGGACCCAAACGTTTGGGCGAATCCGGAGAAATTTGACCCGAAGCGGTTCATTGATGAGAACGGACAATTCAAAGATCTTCACAGAATGATAGCGTTTTCTATGGGTGAGTAATGTGAGTTAAGAGAACATTACCCTTAACGGCATTCTCAAGAAACCAAAGTTTCACAAAAATTAAGGCAGCCATTTTGGATTTTCCATGTAGGCCGTCATATTATAACATGGTCCGAATGAGTATAAGTCACGTAATGCAAAATTATTTCAGGTAAACGAGTGTGTCCGGGTGAAGCTGTTGCTAGGATGAAGCTCTTTCTTTTATTCACTGCTCTTCTACAACGGTACAAGTTCTCAGTGCCCCCTGGTGTAGAATTACCTGACCTGAATTGTGAACTGGGCTTGACACTAACGCTTAAACGTTACAAGGTCTGCATTACTAGAAGATATTGACAAACATTTTATCTATTGTCACTGGACAATTACTATTAGTGGAGTCAGTTAGCACTTCAATTGAACGTTCTTTATATAAAGCACCATTTTTTGACCACAAAGTATCACTTAACATATATTTTTGATATCTACCGAAGTGGTAATTAATCAATCGTCAGACATACACCTCGCTTCAATCAATTATAATCTGGTTAAGTACGGTTAGAGAATTTATTTCTGTTTTTTCAATTAAACTTAATACAGACCCATGTAATTAAGAGTTTGAATGTTTATTATAAAATTCAACTGTTTATTTAGTAAGTTACGTATAAAGTAAATTATCCTCTCGTTTATAAATTAACAGATTACAATCTGTCTGTAAATCTCTCGTCAGTACCTATACAAGGTGAGTCAAATCATGAGCCAGAAACCGAAAAAAGTTCTTGAGAGTGTGTGCCAGAGAGGCAATTATTGCTTCACATAACCTACAGTATCTTAATTTACAAGGTTTCATAGCTTGGACAACTTAGCTTGGACAACTTCACTTATGGTTCTCTCTAAGCAAACATATCATCTAAACCCCAGTTGTTTTCTTTCTAAAATACAATATTTTGGCACATGAAAGTTAATATTAGATCAATCAGAGGGAGAAGAAACACGTTACAGCCAGCTAGAAACTGAATGGAAACTTTCCAGATGACAAAATGGCCTGCCTGCATACAGTTGAAATATGTTTCTTTTTATAAAATTGTTTTGAAATGAGTGAAAAGGATTTAAGCACTGACCTCAATGCTTTATAAAATATATCACTCGTGACTATCCACTTGTGATATATTTTACAAACAAAGTGACAAAGCGTTGAGTTCAGTGCTTAAATCCTTAAGCCTTCCAAAAATAAATAGTAAACTTTTTGCCTAACAAAGATTGAGTACAAGATAATGTACATGTACATGCTATTGTCTCATACATGTATTTTCTTTAAAAGTACACAAATGGCGCATCCAAATTAGTATATTTGGTAACAACTTTGAATTTCGTTCAAGATAGCGCTGCTCCTATGCAAATAATTTGATTTGATGTTTCTTTAGGAAAGCAGGTCTTATCATCATCAAAACTAGTATATTTCTCCTATCTGAATGTACTGACACTCAGAATAAATATACTGTTCCAGTAAGTGTCTATTATTGGTAATGTATCACCCTGCTATAGGGTTAGCATGTATGGTGATGTCTCTAATTCTGATTTCATTCAAAGGTCTGTAGCTTTTCTCATTTACTGGCTGTTTTTCTAATTCGTCTAATGTGTCAAAGCCATCAATAACTCTGAAAGAAAAATACTTAATTATTAACTCATTTGGGAATTTATTTCCATTATCATCTCCAGACTAGCAATCTGAATATTCAAATTTTAAGTTCATAAAGATTTTCACATAACATTTATTATTTTGATCTAATTTTTCTTGGCTAGTTGTAAATGCTGTTTCCAATTTTGTCAGCCCTCTTTGAGAGAATTGACCTTTTGTAAATACTTACTAAACAGATATGGTGCAATAGCTTTACTTCCTTCCCAAATATGGTGTATTTTAGCTTTACTTACTTCCCAAATATGGTATATTTCAGCTTTACTTACTTCCCAAATATGGTGTATTTTAGCTTTATTTACTTCCCGAATATGGTATACAGTATTTCAGCTTTACTTACTTCCCAAATATGGTGTATTTTAGCTTTACTTACTTCCCAAATATGGTATATTTCAGCTTTACTTATTTCCCAAATATGGTGTACTTTTGCTTTACTAACTTCCCAAATATGGTGTATTCGAGAATTACTTACTTCCCAAAAATGGTGTATTTCAAATCGAGAGACGTCTGCTTAGCATATGTTATAAAAAACTGAGAGCCATTTTTGTTGGGACCATTATTCGCCATGGAAACTATTCCTCTTTTATCATGCTGAAAAGAGAAGAGAAAATATTAAAATAAAATAAAGTAACAGACGCTTGAAATGTTCATTGTACTGTTGGTAATTCAAGTAAGTCAAACTAGACAACAGCAATGCCAAAGCGTAGCAAATCAAATCGAACAGCCATGGCCATTTACAGTTTTACATATTGCACCTAAATTACTGTAAAATCGGACGTTGGACGGATGGACAGATGGACGGACAGAGGGACGGATGGAGGCGTTCCCTATATCCCTCCGAACTTTGTTCGATGGGATAACAATGACATCAAAATAAGGAACTTATAGTTGTCCAAACTTTAATATTTGATATGCATGCACCTTGTGTGTGATTTTACAAATAAAATTCATCTGTAGAATTTTATGTTAAACTTTACATGCATGTTTATAATTTTAACTCTTCTATACCTTCACCATAACATCCCTCCATTGCACTTTGGATACAGCCAAAGTAAATACCATCTACTTGCATAGGAACTCTTTAAATATCTAGTCCCTTAATCAATTTCTATTCCAAGCTGAGCATGAACCATGTAAGCTTTGAAGTATCAAAGGCCAAAATACAAAAAGGTATCAAAACTGTTCATAAAAAGTTTTGGACAAATTATATTTGTTAATAAAGTGACGCTACGCTACATAACAGAACTTCACTGACATGATCCTACCTTCAAATTGTCATCAAATTCATCATCAAACTTTTTGCCATAGATACTGTCTCCTCCTTTACCAGTGCCTGAAATGTAATATAATATCATAAATAAAATGGCAACACTTCAACGATCATGTGTTACACATACATGTATATCGTATTAGAATGTATATCTAATTGTTTGGCAGTACCTGTGGAAAGTTACAAACGGGATACTAACTTTTTAAATGAAATACAAAGACCTCGATTTTATGATTTATGTCAAATATATGACTTCAAATTTTATTCTGGCCATTTAACAATGAACAGAATGAAATTCTCTGTCATTTATTACGCCATAAATCATAAAATCTCAGTCTCAATTCCTTAAACAAATGATTGTGTGGACAAATTATCATTTAAATGGTAAAATGTAATTTTTCGATTATTTAGCTTTGATCATCAATTATCATTAATTCCTCAATATGGATCTTTCTATTTTGAACTCAAATGAGAATCAGATCTTGCGAGCAAGAAAACAAAAAATTGTTTCAATTTCAGATTGCTTTTACTACTTTATACATATACAGGGTGGGCCAAAAAATTTTGCAACTTTTTTATAAGGCTAGAAAAGTATCATAACATGGATGTATTGACATAAAAATTGATTTACAGAAAGTTTAGGATAGGCATATTTTACTATTCAAATATCTAAGCTTATACTGAGTTCTAATTTTTTTGACAGTTCTTTGAATATCTATGGTAAATTGTTCATATGTCCAGGATTTACTGTTTTTCCAAGAAAATTTGACTTTTTATGATTTTATGTGATCAACAATAACACATTCATTATGTTCACTGAATCTGCTACAATCTTGGATAACTGTTTATTCAATATCTAGGACAGTTTTATATTAGTATCTACTCACAATGGTATTATGTTATACTGTATCTATAAAACTATTATTAATCATATGTTATTACATCCACCTTTCACCTTCACTATCGCTCCCAGCCATCGGGCAAGGGTTGCTTTGGAATATCTGGAGGAAGATATCTCTAGATTTATTAGTCCTGATGAATTGCTGCCCAATACACCAGATGCCAACCCCTGTGACTATCACACATGGAGGCACCTGGAGCAGTTTATTGCAATTAATGGTAATCCATACACAAACTATTTAACAACTAAAAAAGGTTCTGCAGGAGAAATGGAAACTACCGCAAGAATCGCTGAATGGCGCCATTGCAGTTCCGCCCTCGTGTCTGTGTGATAGTGAAGATGAAGGCGGATGCATGGAACATTTTTAAATATATAATTAATAGATACAGTATAACATAATACCTTAGTAAGTAGATACAGATATAAAACTGTACTAGCCATTGCTTAAACAAATATCAAAGATTGTAGCAGATTTAGTGAACATAATGAATGTGTTACTGTTGATCACATAATATCATGAAAAGTCACATTTTCTTGGAAAAACAGTAAATCTCGGACACATGAACAATTCACCATTGATATTCAAAGAACTGTCAAAAAAAATTAGAAGTCAGTATTAGCTTAGATATTTGAATGATAAAATATGCCTATCCTAAACTTTCTGTAAATCAATTTTTATGTCAATACCTTCATGTTATGATACTTTTCTAGCCTTTTAAAAAAGTTGCAAAATTTTTTGGCCCACCCTGTATTATCAATAGTATGTCATATCTGCCTATTTCTTTAGATACTTTTGTCAAATTTGATTCAGGGTATTCTGTGTCAGAGCATACCTACACTGAAATTGAGATATCTCTTAATTTCTAAGTTATTCATGCTATGCAAGCTGCAGCATACCAATCTTTTTTCAATTGAACACTCTATCTGAACGTAAAAAATCATGAAGATTCTTTAATTCTTGAGAGAGTTATTCCAAAATTAGTGGGTGGTATTTTTGTGTCACCTTGTATTTGAGATCATAAGGAATGAATTAGTAGACCAATTGTACATGTTGCAGTTTTGTCATCCTATAGATCTGAATCTGCATTTACTATGTATCATATAGGAAAACCCACTTTACAAAATATTGAATGTTCGCGACTCCCATAGTCTGATAGTGAAGACCAAGAACATGTATTGAACATTAGTTACCTGTTGGATCTCCTGTTTGGACCATAAATCCCTTGATGTTCCTATGGAAGAGGGATCCATAGTGAAGACCAAGACGTGTATTCATCATTAGTTACCTGTCGGATCTCCTGTTTGGAACATAAATCCCTTGATGTTCCTATGGAAGAGGGATCCATTGTGAAGACCAAGAACATGTATTGAACATTAGTTACCTGTTGGATCTCCTGTTTGGACCATAAATCCCTTGATGTTCCTATGGAAGAGAGATCCATAGTGAAGACCAAGAACATGTATTGAACATTAGTTACCTGTTGGATCTCCTGTTTGGACCATAAATCCCTTGATGTTCCTATGGAAGAGAGATCCATAGTGAAGACCAAGAACATGTATTGAACATTAGTTACCTGTTGGATCTCCTGTTTGGACCATAAATCCCTTAATGTTCCTATGGAAGAGGGATCCATAGTGAAGACCAAGAACATGTATTGAACATTAGTTACCTGTTGGATCTCCTGTTTGGACCATAAATCCCTTGATGTTCCTATGGAAGAGAGATCCATAGTGAAGACCAAGAACATGTATTGAACATTAGTTACCTGTTGGATCTCCTGTTTGGACCATAAATCCCTTGATGTTCCTATGGAAGAGAGATCCATTGTGAAGACCAAGAACATGTATTGAACATTAGTTACCTGTTGGATCTCCTGTTTGGACCATAAATCCCTTGATGTTCCTATGAAAGAGGGATCCATTGTGAAGACCAAGAACATGTATTGAACATTAGTTACCTGTTGGATCTCCTGTTTGGACCATAAATCCCTTGATGTTCCTATGGAAGAGAGATCCATTGTGAAGACCAAGAACATGTATTGAACATTAGTTACCTGTTGGATCTCCTGTTTGGACCATAAATCCCTTGATGTTCCTATGGAAGAGAGATCCATAGTGAAGACCAAGAACATGTATTGAACATTAGTTACCTGTTGGATCTCCTGTTTGGACCATAAATCCCTTGATGTTCCTATGGTAGAGAGATCCATAGTGAAGACCAAGAACATGTATTGAACATTAGTTACCTGTTGAACATTAGTTACCTGTTGGATCTCCTGTTTGGACCATAAATCCCTTGATGTTCCTATGGAAGACGGATCCATAGTGAAGACCAAGAACATGTATTGAACATTAGTTACCTGTTGGATCTCCTGTTTGGACCATAAATCCCTTGATGTTCCTATGGAAGAGGGATCCATTGTAGTAATCACTGGCACATAGAGCTAAGAAGTTCTACAAATTAACGAAATACAAAATATAGTACATGCATCTAATCTATCAATCTTACATTCATGTAACACCATTTCAATAACAAATATGTACATCCTATGAACACATAAAAAAATCCCCAAAATCTGTATGGGAGTAACCACACTGTTAATCAATAGGGTCATGCTGGGAATATAACCAACTGCAATGGCAACTCCATCATGTAACTATATTATTGTAGTATATTCTACTGGTACATAATGTTAATTCGTTATGTCTCATTTTGTTAAAATAACAAGTCCCATGTTGCATCGTTGAACTACTATGTCACATCTTGTCACAGTTGTTGTTACTGTAATTTGTAACTCCATACCTATATAATTGTGAAGACATTTTCTTACCAAAATCTATCATTGGAAATATAACCTTTTAAGAATCTACAAATTAATTAATTAATTACTGTAGATATACTTATTTTGACGCTACTTAATTTGATGGATTTGCTCAGTTTCAAATATTGGTGGCTCTTCAATTTGGAGGATTTAATCTGATGTTTACGAAGATATTTTCTGCATTTCTTTGGAATAATGTAGAATTGATGACATGTTGAGAGAAAAAGGGGCACCTTTAATTTCTGAAGTGCATTGCATAAAAATTCCAAACTGAAATTTGACGGATTTTTAATTTAACGGAGTTTCTGAATCAGCCAATCAGTCAAATTAAAACAGGAGCCAAATTAAGTGTATCTACAGTATGTAGCTGATGTAGGCATATACACATGCTTGAATTATTTGAGACAGACATGGAACAGTGGGAGACATGAGGTACCATTCCCATTGTGTCTAATGTAGGGTAACACCATATGTAATTGAATATAGGATAACACCATATAATCTCCAAAGTAGTGATCATGTCAACTGTAGAGTAACTCTTGATATGGCCATATAAGATCACAGAGTAACACCTTAAATACTGTATGGTCATGTCAAATGAAGGGCATATTGTAACTTACCTCAGATGCTCTTGGGATTTGATCACAGAAGACTTCAATCTTTATGTCTCCCACATCAGTGTGCAGTGTCACCGACTGAAATAAAAACGCTACACATCAATATGCAGTGATACAGAGTAAAACTTGGGACTTCATGGGGCAACTCAACGAGGTTCATGAGACTGGATGGGATATGGTTGGACTCAATTAGTTCAACGTCGTTAAACTCAATAACGGCATTCTTTACTATTAGGGATTTTCTTGGGGCCGTTATTGAAAGAGGTCCAGGCTAAGTCTAATGTTGTTGGGCTAGGACTCAATGTGACTCCATGGGACTTTAGACAAAAAGGTTCATGGGACTGTATGGGACATGACTGGATTCCATTGGGCAGGTGGGACTTTGCCAAATCAGTGTGTTTCTTACATGTAGATACACATCAGCATTCAGTATCACAGACATCGGACTAGGTTACATCGTGGAACGCAGCCAAACACGACAATGAAGCCAGTATTCTGAGGTTATAAAATCTAAATCTAAATAATTTCCCATTTGCAGCTCCTTGGAGATTTCCGGAATTGAACAAAGTAACGAACGTTGCGATCTTTCAACTTTAGTTCGTTCTTTTTCACCACCTTAGGTGTAGTGTTTTCATTTAGGAGGCGGTCTTATTTGAATGCATCATTTCAGGTCTTTATGAATCAATAGATCAATAAGCAGACTAAAAATACAATTTAGCAGTTTCTTTCATTGCATACTGCGCCTGTTAGGCACGAAATACAATTTAGCAGTTTCGTTCGTTATTGGGCCTTCTATAATCAGTAGCAAATGCTCGGAAAACATTTTCCAAAATATTTACTTCTACCGTTTTCCTTGAAGACATGGTTTGGTGACACGTCATTGACACGTGATTAAGTCACATGATCGATACAGTAACTAGTCACGTGATCAGACACGTGTCACGTGTCAGTCACGTGAGCTTGCAAAATGGACGATCTAAATTTCCAAAAATTCGGCTAAGATCAAGATAGATATGCTGTTGCCTTCAGTGTCGTGTTTGGCTGCGTCCCACGATGTAACCTAGTCCGATGGATGACATAGAACAAGCCGGTAAGTAGACACGTGGTTACATCACATTCTTTCCTTATTTCAACCATATGAACTGATTCCCAGAATAAAAAAAATGACTGTAGAGTCCATTTCACTGCTTCATTTCGTCAGTAGAACGGCAAAAATAAGAAATTGGGAGACCATTGTGCAATAATATATGGAAAAGTATATTCATTATGTACATGGATGACATTTGTATATTTCAGATTTTTTAGTTTTTTGTGCAATAAGCCTGTGCCGTCTTGTAATTTGAAGAATTTCAGCCATGTTAATCTTATTGAAAATAACATGGCAGAGAAACATCCAAATATAAGAGGCCACACACTTTATAAGCCAAACTAGAAGCAATCCAAGATATACAAATGTCATTCATGTACATTATGAATATACTTTTCCATATATTATTGCACAATGGTCTCCCAATTTCTTTTTTTTGCCATTCTACTGACGAAATGAAGCAGTGAAATGGACTCTACAGTCATTTTTTACAGTGGGGATCATAAAGAATTGCAAAAGCTATGAAAATTAAATGCTGTTGCACATGTAATAAATTCTTACCTCAGTGTATTCAGTGCTCTATTTTCTCCGTCTGATTAAGTCCAAATATAGTGGAATTTGTGTCCCTAATGACAAATAAGAACTTCAAAAGTTGAAGTGGATATTCACATGTTATGCCGACTCTTCAAATGTTGAGGTGATTTTGTCGCCCGATTCCGCCGGAACGGAGGATTGGCTCCCAGAATGCAACATGACACATGCCAGCTTTCAAAATGCTGTTCCGCCATTTTGAAACCTAGTAGATGGGTTAACTACATTTGGACTTCATTGTATGATGCAAATGTCCCCTTTGGCATGGAAGTACCCTAGGGCAATATAAATAAATTTATCCAAAGACACAAGCTAGATGGCGCTTTATATTGGAAATATACACATTTTTCAAAATGGCCGCCAAAAATTCACCAGAGACAATATCTTTAATTCTGTGCATGCTACAATTATAAGATTGGTGTCAAAAATACAGCAATGTGGTCGTAGAATCTATTTTATTAGATCTTGAGTCTTGAAAATTAAGAACTTCCACTTTATATTCAATATATACGCGCTTTTCAAAATGACTGCCAGAAATATAACAAAGAAGATATCTTGCCTTACGAATACTTACAAATTAAGATATCTTACCTTACAAAATGTCCCATTTGGTATGGATATACCTTGGGGCAATAGAAACAAATTTATCCAAAGACACAAGCTAGATGGCGCTTTATATTGGAAACATACACATTTTTCAAAATGGCCGCCAAAAATACATCAGAGACAATAGTTTTGCTTCTGTGCATGCTACAATTATAGGAGTGGTGTCAAAAAATACATTAATGTAGTTGTAGAATCTATTTAATTAGGTTTCGAGTCTTGTAAATTCAGCACTTGCACTTTATATTCAAAATATATGCATTTTTCAAAATGGCTGCCAGAAATATAACAAAGAAGGTATCTTCGCTTCTCAGCATGCTACAATGATAAGAGTGGTGTCAAAGTATACATTAATATCGGTTTGTAGAATCCATTTAAATAGGTCTTTCATAATAAGAATTTTGCGTTTTTAAAAATGGCCACCAGAAATATAACAATGATGATATCTTCACATCAGTGCATGATACACTGATACGATTGGGTGTCAAAATTTTATATTCATGGGGTAGGAGAATCAATTTTATTAAGCCTTGTGAGGTTATAGTTTTCACTTTATATTGGAAATATATGCAGCTGAAAATAAAACAAAAATTGTATCTTTGCTAACAAAGATTGTACCTTTGCTAACAAAGATTGTATCTTTGCTAACAAAAATTGTATCTTTGCTAAAAGTTTCTTTATTTCTGGGCATAATATTTCATAAAATTGGCTTCAAAATCTACAATTTTGGGAATGTAAAATCTATATAATTACTCAGATGCAAGGGTAGTTACCATTTTCCCCACCAGGTGGTTAATTCGGGTGAAATAACATTGCAGGGAATTACAAAGTTCCCTTAAACTTGAATATTCTTAATTTCTAGTGGTTCACATTTCATATTACTCGTTTGTATCTGATAGTTGTACAAATTAAAATATCTCCAGTTAAAGAAAATATTATCTGCACAACACAAGAAAAGATATTTCACTTTTTGTGTTTTACAACATGGCGACTATGGGGAATCTCCCTGACCTAAACGTCACATTTTCGAAAAAAATCAATTTTAAAGTTGATGGACTCATTTCAAAACCACATTTCTTGATGTATTTTTTCATTAAGATTCAAAATTTAACATCAGTTAGACTGAATTTTGAATTTTTAATAACAAAAATAAAGATTGTTACTACTCCCATCTAGCAAATTGGATTATGAGCCTTAAAAATAATCGTTTTCGCCTTAACACAGCAACTGTGTATTTATCTTTCAATGTTCTTTTTACTCAAATTCACCAGAAACACCAGTGTCTCTTTAATAACTTGAAATAAACATGCATCTGCAATGGTAGTGCAATTTTAGTTGTTGCAATGCAACATACATAAGAGAGAAATGTGATAGATAGAGACCACGCAGAACAGACATACAGTTAGAAAGGGCCAGAAACCTTCTGGCGAGAGAAGTTCGGAATAGATTTCAAGGGCTGCATATTATGACAGTATTTCAGAACCCTCTTCCTCTCCTCTGACCAAATCATGGATGATGTCTCTGTTTACCAAGTCTTCCACTAATCCAACCAACAAACTATTAAGCTTGTTGTTGATTGGCAACCATTTTGAAAAAGACATGTATGTACACACATACAGCACTGAATATTGTCATATTGAGAAAAATATTCTTATTTTCTCATTTGAACATTTAAGAGATTAAGATTTTAAGATTTTAAACGGCAATATGTCTTTCACCATAAGTACTTCCTGGCCATAAAAACAATGTGTTTTATTCCAAGTGAAGTTCCCATGATTGTTAAATATGAATCCAACTTTCTGGAAAATTATGGATTAGGATCCCACATTGGCACTTTTTTAAAATGTTAAGCTTATTTTGTAAAAAGATGATCTTCTTTCTCAATTAAAACATATCAAAAGTTGCATCACTTTATATCAACAATTACTTAAAACACTTCAAACTATTCTACTTTTGAAGAAGTTTAAGAGCCCTTGTTAGATATAATTCTTTGTAATATTTTCCACAGCCATTGAAAAAAGGCATACATTTTCAATAAAAGGTGAAAATGTTTGTTAACTAATAGACATACAGTACAATTTCCACTGATTTCAACATTTTGGTGACATTTAGTCAATGGTAAAAATTATATTTAGACAATAAAAGAATTGAGATCTAACTTAATATAATGTAAGTTACCATACCTTGACGACATATCTTGTAAGTAATAGCTAACCAACTCCTTCTCTGCGACATTTTGAATTTTCTGAGCCATTAATCATAAAATTAACGCCATCTTCAATTTAATTGAGTACATACACGTATGGCCATATGACTTTGAAGGAATCTGACAATAATTGCAAAATCATACATAAGACAGACGATGAACTGACAGACTGACGGACGGAGGACTTCATTATATCCCCACTGAACTTTCTTCGTTGGGAAAATAAAGACTATAAACCTTATCAAATGAATTCTACCACCCATTAATGTATACTTGGACATCAATCTTACTGTTGTAGCATGCATACAAGTGAAGATATCATCTTTGTTACATCTCTGGCAGCCATTTTGAAAAAGGCATAATTTTTTGATATGAAGAGGAAGTTCTTAACTTTCAAGACTCACACCATACTAAATTGATTCTTCACCCACAAAATGTATATTTAGGCACCAATCGTATCATTATAGTATGCATAGAAGAAAATATATTGTCTCAGTTGTATTTTTGGCGGCCATTTTGAATAATTTGAATATTTCCAATATAAAGCGCCATCTGGCGTGTGTCTTTGGATAAATTTGATTCTATGGTCCTAAGGTACTGTCATGCCAAAGTAAACGTTTGCATCATAGATTGAAGTCCAGACCCCCTTAAATGCAGTTAACCCATCTACTAACCTGTCATGAGTAAATACGGTAACTGATGTTGCATTCTGGGAGTCAACCGTCCTTGGATAACAAACATGGCGATTCTTGAAAACATTCATTCGTTTTGGTAGGGATTTATCCATTATTTGCAGGTATGAAGCTTTGGATTCATTTATTGTGCTACTTTAGTGAACGGGAATTATTTTTCTACCGCTTGGGAGAGTTTGAGACACGAAACTTGGAAATTAGCTCATTGTGACAACCATAGGCCAAGGGAAAAGTAATACTAAGCTGTATATAGAAGAGACAGTCTCTTCTATATACGGCTTACTATTACTTTACTCTTGGCCTATGGTGACAACTTGTGAACGTTGAGTTTTATTTTTGTCCCCCACTGTAGTCTCTGGATTTACTAGGACGGAGAAAATAGAGCACTGAATACACTGAGGAAAGAATTTATTCAGCATGTAATTTTCAAAGCTTTTGTGATTACTTATGTTCCCCACTGTAGATCTAAATTCTAACAAATGACAATGTTTGTGAACTTCATTGCATTCTAGATCTACACTCTGTTAAGCATGATAAAAGGCAAGAAGTTTAGTTAGAAATAAAAGAGTTATCTCATGAATGGGACCCTTACATAGCTCCTAAAAGGTAGAAGACACTAAATGGTGTAACACTATAAGCTGAATTTTGTCCACATAGAGCATGTGCACAATACTAAAGACATGTAAAATTGAACTGTCAAAAGAACTGAAATATACTTACCAGCTCGCCTCTACCGGAAGTTATGATACGTTATGGTGTAACTACGGTAATTAATTTTAAAATATTGAAAAAATCAACAACATTCAATTTCTAGGGTGTACAACCATCAGTACTGTCAACCCCCAAAGATTTTCTCGCGGGACAGATTTTTTAGACCCAGTTCCAAAAATTCGCGGGATTTTGCGGGACATCCACCTAAATTCGCGGGATTTCGCGGGACATTTAAGGGATTTGCGTGATTGCGCTAAAAGGTCAAATTTTGATCAAATTCGCGGGATTTCGCGGGGCCATTCGAGGGACAAACACGCTACTTGCGGGACAATTAACAGGGTAACCACCAAAGACTTCAGAGAGGGATAATTTTTCTAGACAAAGTGCCCTAAATTCGCGGGATTTTGCGGAACATCCACCTTTTGCGGGATGTCGCAGGACATTCAAGGGATTTTTAATGTAAAAGTACTCTTGAATCAAACTTTCAGATACTGATTTATCAAATATAATGCACTTAACTTAAGTAAACGTCAACACAATTCCACACAATTCCACACAATACGCATAGAACTATTATTAAACTATCAAAAACCACGCTTTAGGTGTGAGTACCGTAATCCGACACGAAATTCAAAAATTCTTGTGAATACTTTGCACTTATGGCGTTCGTGACCAACTATGAAACATTTACCCCCATAGTGTTATATATCAAAATGTACCTATTCGTATAGGGGTTCGATTATTCTACATCAAATTATGGGGAGTCAGGTTTCTTTTCGAGATATCAGTGTCCATTTATATTTTGGAACTCGCGTTTGCTAACATTTGTTCAGTTCTGAGATGAAGGCCGTGACACGCGTAGTAAAAAGGCCAACGTTGGAACTAATCGTGACATACATCCCTTTTTCCGTAATTAAAATGAAATTTGCACTCTTCCTCTTTATTTTGATACCAAACGGCATGCTAGAAGCCAACTATGGTGTTATTTGGATCAAAATCATAGTTTTATAAATGTACTATATGCTCCTTCCAAAAGCAGTCTTCGATGATCTGATGCACTGGGAGTTCGGCAGCACTTTTCAAATTAGGTAAACTTGACTCCTCAAAAGTGCAAAAACCTTAGCTTCTTATATCACAATATAATCACAATTATTTAGCCTCGGGGATTGTTACAATTTTGAAAATTCGCGGAGGTCAAGGCCGTCATTTGCGGGAATTCGCGGGACATTGCGGGACACGCGAATAAGCCAAATTTTGGTCAAATTCGCGGGATAATCCCGCCATTCGCGGGACACTTGACAGCTCTGAACCATTTTCGAGCGAATTTGCCGATATAATAACAATATTTTTGAGTTCCCCTAGGCTATATAAACTTCATCAATACACAGTATATTCAACATAGGTTTTGCTTCTCGATTTTTAAATATCACTATGCAAAGACAGGGACTCATTTTAGGTAAAATCATTGCTTCACCAATGAAAATTAAAGGGAACGTTAGCTCACAAAATAAATAAATCCATTACAATGTTAAGTATATGATTTGAAAGATTGTCTGGATTATATGTGTGATCGATTGATGCATAAACAAACATATTCATTTCAACTTGCAGACCTCCATTCTGGCTCATGTATAGGCCTAAGACGCCATATTGCCTTATGTATTGTACTGCCCATGCGTGCATACTTAATGCGTGACGTCACATCGACAGAGATCAGCGATCAAGTTTGACTAAAAAATTAAAAGATCCACACTTAACAGCACAAAAATGATATCAATGATCGCCTATTTCATATCAAATAAGTGTAGGATGTAAGGTTTAACATTTTTCATGTTATTTAGTATTTACAGAAGCAGAGCTTGTAAAGAAACCAAGTTTTAAATTCCGATTTTGACTGTTGACAAAAATAAAGAAAAGAGAGAAAGAGGCGACTTGTTAGAAACAATGACATGAAATTGTGAATAAAAAAGATATTATTGTGGGTTTTATTTTTTGAGAGTTCATCAAATACACTCATGTGTATTAATTTAAATATGTATTGTAATACCTCTCAGTTCTACCAAAGATTATAAAAACTGATCGAAATGCCTTCGTTTTTAAAGTACAAAAAACACTACCCTACCCGGAAGTAGTATAACATCTATATTGAAACCATGTGTAAACTGTAAATCACGTGAATTGGCTGATGCAATCAGGATGTGACTAGTACAAAGTAACTATGATGCAATCAGGATATGACTTGTGCAAAATAATTGGCTTCACCTAGAATTCGCGATCTTTGCTCTTTAGCATAACACGAAGACATGTTTTGTGTTTAAGTAGCTAGATTCAAATACAAACTAAATGAATAAAACATAAACCAACCATCATTTGTTCCAATCATGGCGAATTTTCAAGGAAATATGTGTAACTGAATGTAAATCAACAGCGGGGCTCTTCAATTATGAGGTGAGAAAAATGTAAAAATAAAAACAAAAATAAATCTCACAGAAAAGAGCTATTTATACGATTCTAAGTACATTTTAAGTGCTCCATACATTAATGTAAGTATAAAAGCCATTAACCTCAACTGGGAAGCACTTTCCAACTATTTTTACGGCTTGAATTGTAAGAAAATGGCACTTATCTCAAAAAATGGAAACTTGAAAGAAGCTCAATTTATTGTGAATATGAAGTTTATATATATCTGTATTTGGGGGTGCGAATATATAGTCACAGTATGGGCTAATTCGCTTAAGAATGGCGATATATACCTCAGAACTTGTATTTTGTGATTTTTTCAATATTTTAAAATTAATTACCGTAGTTACACCATAACGTATCATAACTTCCGGTAGAGGCGAGCTGGTAAGTATATTTCAGTTCTTTTGACAGTTCAATTTTACATGTCTTTAGTATTGTGCACATGCTCTATGTGGACAAAATTCAGCTTATAGTGTTACACCATTTAGTGTCTTCTACCTTTTAGGAGCTATGTAAGGGTCCCATTCATGAGATAACTCTTTTATTTCTAACTAAACTTCTTGCCTTTTATCATGCTTAACAGAGTGTAGAAAGTAGATCTAGGTCTATTTCTCTATTTAGTTATTTTAGAAACAATGTTCTTGAATTTTGAAATTAAATGCAACAAGATACAAATTAAACAACTATTAATGAAGGATAAAAGCTTACCATATTTCGATAATAACGTAGAAATCATGAGCCCAAGTTTAAAAGTTGTTGTGGGCGATAATAGGTGAATTTATAAACGATGTTGACCTACATCCGGGCAGTTTCGGAAAATGGCGGCCTCCTCGAAAGACCTAAATTTTGCCTGGAACGTTATTTCATCAACACTATCACCTGTCAAAGATTCCGTAAGTTGATAGGATGAAAGAACTGTTATCGAAAAGTTTTTACATATTGAGATTTGGTAAAACTGAGAAATTTCGTGTTATATAACACATAATTTGAACTTATGTTTTGAGACATCAAAATAATGAAATAGTGTGGGTGATAATTGACATCCATCAATTTGCAAACTTGCAATCATCTCAATAATACCTTCATAAATCTAAGGATAGGACGGTTCCACACATCCATCTGTCTTTGGTTAATGAGGAAGACAGGATACAGAAGACACATTTCAAAATATTCTTCTTTATCCTAAAGCCCGAGATCTTATCCCGTGCCAGGACTATAGTCCTGCGAACGTCTTATTCTTTTGCCTGTACAATTACAACATGGGAGAATTTTCTACGCTTCTTACACTAAGATACCTATTTCAATAGATTCCTTGGTATTTTAGCATTCTTTACGTGTAGTTGAATCAACAATTGTCTGGGTTTCTCGGCAGAACAAAGAAATTTTCGTTTTTAATCACAATATTTGCGTGTAATATTTAACTTATTTCAACCGTCAAATTCCTCCATTTATTGGTGCTTCCGGGCCACTTCCGGGTCAGTCAAACGGGGAATCCCCTTTTAAATCCAACCGCCATCTTGGAAAGTGATGGAATATCTCTCGATGAAAAAGAAAAATGTTCCCGTTCTGCTGATATACCCAGACAATTGTGGATTCAACTACACGAAAAGAATGCTAAAATACCCAGGAATCAATTGAAGTAGGTATCTTAAGTGTAAAGGGCGTAGATAATTCTCCCAAGTTGTAATCGTACAGGCAAAAGAATGCTCTCAATGCAGGACTATATAGTCCTGGTACGGGATAACCGAGATCTGTTTAGACCCATAGGCTTTGTAAATCGTATTGGTGCTAAGAAGTGCCTTTGGTCACTTCAGACCTGTCAACATCTGAAGATTTTTCAAGGGGCAGATTTTTCTTGTGAGTTTTGCGGACATTTAGGAATTTGTGTTTGAAGGGCAAATTTTGAGAGAGTCGAAGGTACACGAGTTGAATCCAGGAAACCGGGGTCAGGAAATTAGGGTTCACTGTTTTATTTCTGTTGACACCTGTGCGAAATTCGAATTCATAATTAAACAACAGTGAACAGGAGGTTTACAGTCAAACCCGGGTGCGCTTATATAAATGTTTGTTTTGCGGATCAGGGTGCATCAGGGTTAAAGGCCACTCCAAACGAAATATGTGTTTAATGAGGCCACAAAATATGAAAAGTTTGCTTAATTGGAATATTATACGCAATATTTTGAATAGATACCAAGACATAAAACACATAAAAAACAGTAATTTCTTATTATTATTAGTGGTCAAAAATATGCAAAGTCGGAAGACTCCTAGTACTTATTCTATCTCAATAGGTTCACATAACTCAGTGGCAGTGCTAGTCAATATATCAAATCCGAGACACTGTCAAAGGAGTTCAGAATATGATGCAGGTAAATTGTAAATCGCACGTGATGTCACAGGGAGAGGTCACATGAGAGGAGCATGTCACAGTGGAGTGTGTCACAGGATGGGAGGGTTTCACAGAGGGGGTGTCAAACAAGAGTATCGTGTTACAGGGGTTGGTGGCAATAAGAAAGGGTGTCACAGGAGGGGAGGATGTCACAGAGGGGGGTGGGTTGTCTGTCAAACAGGAGGACGGTGTAAGAGGGGGGGGGATGCTAAAGGGATTGGTGGCAAAAAAAGAAAGGGTGTCACAAAAAGGGGAGGGTGTCACAGAGGGGGGAACATTGTTAAAGACGTTGATACACGGGGTGTTGCAGGGGTTGGTGGCAATAAGAAAGCAAGGGTATTACAGGAGGGGAGGATGTCACAGAGTGGGGTGGTTCAAACAAGAAGATGGTGTTACAGGTGTTACCAATCATCCAATGTTAATAATTTGTTGTGTCTGCGAGTTTACTGAAATCTGTAGGAGGGGTCAAAATATTATTTATTAGAGGAATCCTTGTAATAAAAGCAATTAAATCCTGGTTTGGAAACTCCCCAAAATAACCCAAATCGATTTGAATAAATGAACCATTCACTTTGATGCAAAGGCGTGTTTTGATGGCAGCAAACCTGGGTTATGAGGGCACATCCTTTGCCAACGAGTGCTTATGCAAATTTTAACCAAATTAGCGGGACAATCACACTAATTGTGGGATGGTTGATAGAGACAAGTGACTGATGCTGTATATTCACTGTTTATTACTTTATACTTTTCACATAACACAGTATTATCCCCAAGACCCAAGGTTTGTGGTAAAATGGAAACTCATAATCATGTTATTGATCAAAACGTTTGTGCAGGAAAGCTAGATCTTGTACTTTTCAATTAATGTGTACTCATTTTTGAGTCTTTGTGAAATGAAAAAACTAACATGTCTCTTTATATTTCAGATATCTAGTGACTATAGTGACCGAGATGTTGAGACATCAGTTGATGTTCTTCGACATGCGGGCATATCTCACATAATTGCTGAGTGGTTCTTGGAGACCATCAAAAAACACTTGCGTCAAACGATTGCACCAACATTTTGGAGCAACTTTGAACATGACCCTAGTGCTTCACAAAACTGCTACCAGTTGGCAGTTGCTATAAATGCACTCCACCAAAGTCTCATGGATTATGAGTCATACATACAAAAAATTATGCTGATTCAGCAATATTTATCGAGCCATGGGATTAAAATGTGTAGCAATGTCAAAGAGAGATGCCATGTGTTATACAGAGCTATAATCTTCAATTCATGTCCTATATACTTTCAAGATATAGTGAATAAATTCTACACTCAGGCGTTCAAGGTGTTCCATAGGATAAACCAAGAGGAAGACAGTAAGCAATGTTACAGTTCTTATTGCTATAGTCACTTTTTTCATACCATCATTTGGTGTCAGCGTTAAGCATTAAAGGCATCTGTAACAGAGTGTTACACTTTGTAATATCAACCAGGTCGTGATATTTTTGCATGTTTTAAATGCCTTGTTGGCAGTAATCCTCTGGTTGGATTGGATGCTTAAATTATGAAGTTATCCTTGATTGCAGTTATCATTTTTTCTAGTTTTCACATGTGTCATTGAGAAAATATTCATAGCTGTAAATAAATACAAATACACTATCAAGAACTGGTACAGATGAACTAAAATGAATGTACTGATGTTATTTATAAAGAGGTTTTAAGTCATATAAGTACTATTTTTAAAAAGTGATTCTTTGCCATGCCTCAAGATGTTTTTGATAGGATTTTACATACTTTCTGTTGGAGCATCTATGACTATTTTGACATATCCAAACCGTATGATTGTGTTTGTAGCAGCAGATGTTGATGAGGGTGTACAATGTGCAGGTTGTGAAGATGATAAGGAAACATGTCAGTGTAGCAAGATCATGGAGACTTTCCATACAGTGAATAGACAGTTGTAAGTACATTTGAACATATAGAGTTGAGTCATTTCCACAAATACATGCAGGAGGGCTGATAGATTGACTCATGTTTTGTTAAGTTTATAACAGGTTTGTTATTATTACAACACAAGGATATCAATTGAAAGTTCTGTTTTTAGGGAGAGTGTGGTGAATGGTGGGATTACGTTGCCACACAATTATTGTTTACCATTTTCAACTTTCAAGTAGTTTGAAATGGTTTGTCTAGTTTCTTTTTATTTAGATCATGGTTTTGGGATAGGAATATGGGGTTTGTTTTTCTTATGACTTGTATACACATAAAGTTTGCTTTTTCCTGCTAGGTTCAATTACAACATTTGGTCCTTTCCTGTTTGCACTTGTGCTTAGATATTTATAATCGTTACAGTGATTATATGTTGAATATATATTTGACTTAAAATTACAATGTTCTGTACATGTTAAATCTTGTACAAGTGTATTGTCTAATATACTAGATGTGAGTAGAAATAAACTTGATTAATGTCATTAATATTCAAAATTTAAATTTATTCACCTTTCCCCAAAGTCAGCTCATGAATATTATAATTAGCAAACCTGAAATCTATGACGTCAGAGTAGGGCAGATTTTCGCGGGAAAATCTCAACACATTAGAAGTCAATGTGAATCGTGACGGAAACGGGTTAACTTTATTGTCAAATTATGTTGAGTAGTAATAATATTAATGATAAATGTCATGGAATTTAATAATTATACTCACGTCTATATTCCCCCTTCTTGTTATATTGTTCTGGGGAATCAAATGAATAGAGAAATATTGATGTGAAGAGTCCAATGTTTCCTGTACATTTTCAAATTACGCCGACTGTACAAAACCCCATGTTTAGTTTTTGACTGTCAAAATGTCAACATCCCATGATACCTTAAGTTCGTGTAATATTTTCTCATGGGGCGAAGAAGGGGGTACGACTTAACCTTGAAGAAAACGTATTCGACACTCAAATCTTGGCCAACGGTGCGTTACTTTCACTTACGTTCAGCCACCTATTATACCACATGGTATGGTATGGTATGGTATGGTACGGTACGGTATGGTATGGTATGGTTCTTTATTTCCTCCAATTTGGAGAGCAAATTAATACAAAAACAAATTATTAAATTACAATATATACATTAGATACAATATAATAATATACTTTTATGTCTGCCGAAGAATTTGACAATGGTTACGTGAGTGATGACTGGTGAGTGATGATAAGGCCGTTCATGTATGCTTTGAGACGATATACCAGAGTTGCTTGTTTTACACATGATTAATCATGATTATACACGATCGTCTGTTTGAAGAGACTTATCTCTTGAAAGGCCCATGGGTGTTCTTTTAAATATCGAACTTTTTAGAGAACTTTCAAGATATTTTTGGATGTAGACCTACATGAAACAAACTCCGGCAATTCAAGCCCGTGTGCAGGATTTATCTGCCGGAGCGGTTTTACCAAGTGGGAGCTTTTTGACAGTTTTGGGAAAAAATCATGCGAAAAGTGCTCAGAATGGTGAAAACCCGCATGCTTTTGAAAGAATTTCTGGCCGGAGGGGAGCGGTCGCTCCTTCCGCTCACCCCCCCCCCCCCTTTGGCTACGGGCCTGTTATTAAGCTTAGAATTGCAATTAAAATGCAAACTACTACAGTATGATGAATATTAGTTACTTCAATATTGAATTGCAAAAATACATGACCAATCACAAACTATTTGGGCAATCCGGTGAAAAAAAGCAAGTGGACTCTGACATTTAAAACTGTTCTTCATATATTTTTTTTATTAGAAACATAATGAACTATTTAATTGAATAATCATGATTATATATTCCTAATCCATACAGTCTTAATGTTTGAATGATTGTCAATCTTTAGTTTGCGTAGTTGGATTCACTTTGTTAAAAGACTAGCACTCGTATCACAATTATTTCTATGGTTTGATTTACCGGATGGTGTATTTAAGACACAGCTTAAGGCAAAATAGTCAGAAAAATATATTTCACTTAGTTTTGTTATCATTTTATAATGAGATATATTTCACTCATTCGGCGATCTAATAGTAATCGAAGTTTTGGCGCGAAATGTGCCCTGCTTTGACGTCATTGATTTTCATCGACCAATCAGCGCAGCGGTCAAATGAGTACACTTTGGACTTTGGGGAAAGGTGAATAAGTACATCTAAAAATGTGGTTTCAAAAATTGTTTATCAACTTTAAAAAGTTAGTTCAGTATTTACATACAGACTATGTTCTTCCAGAAATGAGCTTGGTCTTTTACAAAGAATCTCTGGGGAAGCTGTGACGAGGATCATTCATAAACGTATAGAAGAACACATTGATGAGACTTGTAAGGGAAACTTTGAGAGCACCTTCCTTGAAACATTAGAAAAGGTATATTATGAAACTTCAAAACACACAGTTTTGAGAAATTGCTTAAATTGATAATGTTTGAGGGGCCTAGGCCAAAAATAACCCTTTGAGAATCATTTACCATACTTGTGTGAGGAAAAAGTTTGGGTCACATGTCTGAAAATTTGGACCAACTTTTAAAAAACCATATCCACATTCATTTTATGCATATCCATAATGCCTATTTGACCTATCATCGCCATTTCCCAATTTTGCCCGGTTTCCGAGAAATTGCTGATTTTGATTTCAAAAAGTCAAATTTTCTGTACATATGAAGGTTCTACACTGTGTGAGCACAGGACCGTGGGTCATTTATTTAGAATGTAGCCTAAAAACATATAGCCCCAGCATGGAAAGAATTACCCTCAAGATATGCCTTACTTAAACAAATGTTTATGCAGGAGAAATATCTTTTACATATTACACTACAAGGTGCCATTTGAATCATGCAACATCACTTTTTGATTTCAGGAACCAATTGTGTATCTTAGTAACTTCTCTGCAGAAATATACAGCTAGCTACTTGACTCAAGGTTGACAATTTTGCATCATATAATATTATATGCAAGATGTAATTAATTAACTGATGATTTAATCATATATTTTAGTGGTTGGAAACAAAGGTATTAGGATGGCTGTTATTGGTCTACAACCAAGATGATGACAAGCCTAGCAACCAGCCTAGCAGCAAGAACCAAGAAAATGCCAAACTCACAACAAAGGAATGCATAGAAGCCTACAAAGGACGCCTGATGCATTTTCTTTATGAAACTTATGCCAATGTTCAAATCTCTCAGCTGTTTAATATCATCATTGAATACCCAGATTCTGAACCTGCTTTGATTGACCTGAAGGCTTGTCTCGAAAAGACGGACCTCCGAGGACATTTGGTTGAATCGCTACGAACTGCACTTGAAACTCGACTGCTTCATCCAGGTACATAACAAATGATAATATGACATGTTATATAGTATTAAACTACACAGTAAAGTACACAGAGGTGAATTTTTTGGAACTTTTCATCTCATCTCAAAGTAGAGTTTTTATGTGGTGACATAAGGTCTCCAGCTTTTTAGTGTGTGGTGGTCACCAGTCAGTCTGCGTCTGCGGTGGTCGGCGTCAGTAACAAATGCCAGGTTCATGCCTTGCCTAGGAATTGAAGTATATGATCAGTGATTATACAAAGCTTAACTAATATAGATTTTTTGTGTCCTTATAGGTGTGAACACAGATGATATTTTGGTGGCATATATATCAGCTATAAGAGCCTTGAGGGTACTGGACCCTACTGGAGTCATCTTAGAGCTGGTCTGTGAACCAGTGAGGAAGTATCTGAGGTAGGAGTCAGTGTTTACTGGTTAAATTGATGCCTACTCTGCATGAATGATGTCTTATCTGTCTACATGTATATTGTACATTTCTTTGATGCTGTAATATTGAACACTCCTGAGTGATTTTAAAGTATATGATCACAATTCTCTAAGCCTTTCTGATTTTAAATATTGTATATTTATTGTACTATTGTTAAATTATATCAAATCATATATTCAGTGTCATTCACTGATTTGTATATAATGAATATTGTAATTCAGCAACTAAAAACTAGAATATGTTCTCTCTTGCTGATATTGCTACTCATGATGTCAAGATATTGGATTTATCCCATGATTACTTTAGTAAATGTATATAGTAATTTTCTTGATGTTTTGTAATGTTTTGCTGTTATTGATTATTCCATGCATACAAATAATTTATTGGTTAGGTCACGTGAGGATACAGTACGGTGTATAGTCTTTAGTCTGACCAATGATGGATGCAATGAATTATCTGAGGAACTGGTCAAAGGTCATCCCCTCGTTCTGGATGAGAGTTACCATAGTGATGATGAATCTGATGACTGGGAAAACTGGTCACCTGACCCAGTAGATGCTGACCCTGGTATGATATAATAGAAATTAGAAGGAAGTACTGTATTAATGAAAACCTCAGGAATATTTAGCAAATTGCCAAAGGCTGTAACTGCATTCAGTTTTGGCAAAAGACGGAGCAGAGTTTGACATTATTTAAGTAATATCTGGTTTGGAATTGAAATATTACAAGAATTGAAAACTTTTCAATATTGAGGTGTAGATGGCAACTAGGTCTGCTGTAACCAATCTTTTATAACCAATTTATAAACATGGTGGTCAGGTCCAAATATAGGAATTAAAACAGAATCAGATGTTTGAGCAAGTAGTAATCTTTCCATAAAATTGTTCACTTTTAGAATACTTTGGGCATCATTCCTTGTTTTTCTAGGATTCCTTTTTAAGGATTTTAGCATAAGGATTTTACAGTACATTTATGTTGTTTTATTTCAGCTAAAACCTCCAAGAGTCGTCGAACATCTGATATCATCAGTATGCTAGTCAACATCTATGGTAGTAAAGAACTGTTTGTGAATGAATACCGTACACTGTTGGCTGATAGAATACTCACTCAGTACAACTACGACACTGAGAAAGAGATCAGATACCTGGAACTCTTGAAGCTGAGGTTTGGGGAGACTCAGCTGCATTATTGTGAGGTAAGGCTGCATTATTGTGAGGTAATGCTACACTATTGTGAGGTAAGGGCAAAAGATTGTTCGGTAAGCCTACTTTATTGGGAGGAAAAGCTGTTTTATTTTGAGTTAATGCTTTAAATGGTTGTCAGTTGTGAAAATAGGCTGCACTATTGCGATGTGAGCCTGCCTTATTGTGAGGTTACTGCATTATTGTATTTGTACATTCGTATACAATGCTATCCAAATTGTATACTCTATGCATGTCTAAAAGTTTTGAAAACTATCACAAATCATAGGCATCAATAGTTTTATGTGTTTGTTTATTGCCCAGGAAGTTGTTCTCTCTATTACTTTGATACCATATGATAGCAAAGCCGCAGATATATGTATGTTATATGTTAGTTATATATGGAAATAAATCATTTATAAAAAAATCATACGATTTAGGATTCATAAAATAAAAGGCTGTGGTAATGACTATAGATTCATTCTCTATCATTATAGGTGATGTTGAAAGATGTAGCAGATTCTAAACGGATCAACACTCACATCATGGAGAAGCGAGGACAGCAGCCTAAAGCACAGGAAGACAAAGAAGATGTAAGTTTGAGCATCTAAGTCCTATATGTGATACCCCACCCTGTATTTAGACTTTCACTACACTCTCAATACAAACTGTAGGATAGATTTTTTTTAAAGTTTATGTTATATTTATTTCATTATACTTTTCAACAAATAAATTCAAGGCCTACTCCAAAGCATTATTGGCCTTGTAGGTTACAATGATATAATTACAATAGTAGGTTAAAATGTAAATATGATAGATGTATTAATATAGATGAAGTATATTTGATAGGAAATAATCACGAAGACTCGAAGAATAGATGCTCATGGAAAACATACAAAAGATTAGAAATTAGAAATCCTTAACCATACATCATGTTACAATACATAGAATCATGTTGTTTTGTGTTTCAGGAGATTCCAGTGAACTCTATGGTTCTATCTGCTCAATTCTGGCCATCATTCCGAGAGGAGAAAGTTGAACTTCCTGAGATTATGCAGAAGTCACTTGAGACTTACACCAAGTCTTATGAGGCTCTGAAAGGCAACAGAACTTTAGACTGGAAACCACATCTAGGTTTGTGTAATAATTACTCATCTCCCACATTGATGTACATGTATAAGAAATAAGATCAATTTATTTTTATTCGTACATTTTGAGCGTTATTTAATCATAAGCTTTTCAAAATAAATTATGAACTTTAGACTTGAAACATCTAGGTTTGTGTAATACAGTGCGTATAAAAAAAACGCAACAGATTGTTATCTCGGAAAAGCACAAAACCAGTGATAACAGTATTGATTTCATTCAATGCACCATAAAGCCACGTGTCTCCTCTTTACAATGATATATTATTCATTGATATTTGATCATGGTTGAGCGAGTAATCATTCCATTTGCAAAGTGGGGCTTTGGACCAAGTTATAAACATCGCAAAAGTCAGTGTACAGAGCCCGATGCAATATTGGAAGAAAACATAAAACCAATGCTGACTGCAGCCTTTTCATTCAATGTACCAAAAAGCCAAATTACTCCTCTTTGCAATGGAATATCATTCATTCACAGGGAGTCATGATTGGCCGAATATTCATTAATTTTGCAAAGAGGTGCAAAATTCAGCTCGGACCTAAGTTTTAAACATTGCAAAAGTCAGTACAAGGGGCATAGGGGCTATTGGAAGAAGGTGTGACAGGTATGGCATAGACAGTAAAGTGTTCATACTCATACTCTTGCAAGAATACATCCTATAACACCTCCAAATTGCCACCACTTCCTTGCACATAAAGATGCGCTCATCTGTCCCTGTCATGCATGGTTCAGCCCTGAGTCATCTGTGGGTTAAAGCAGAGAAAAGCAGCCCATGGGCAATTCTTTCTCGAGGATTTGCAATATCTGGTGGAGGAATTGTCAGATTGTGAGCGCAGATGCTTCTGAGATAGCTCCAAAAGAAAAAGTCACAACAATTCAAGTCAGGGGAACTCCCATTGGCACTTAGCCCTTGTACTGATTTTTGCAATATCTAAAACTTGGAGCAGAGCCGATTTTGACACACTGTGCAAATGGAAGGATTTCTCACTCAACCATTACCACATGTGAATGAATGACATATCATTGCAAAGAGGAGAGACATGGCTTTATGGTACATATAATGAAATTGATGTAGTCATCATTAGTTTTGTGATTTTACGAGATAACTACTTGTTGCGTTTTTTTGATACACCCTGTAATTACTCAATTATCACATTCAATCTTTAAGACTTAAGATCAATTTATTTGTTATTCTTTCATTTTAAGCATTATTTATTCATAACCTTGTTCAAAAAATATAAATGTGTAGTTTGCAAGATTTTTGGTTACGAATTCAAACTAGGAACAATTTGTGGTTTTGGATATTTTTTATGTGATTTATTTTATTCAGAACGCAAAGCCATGAATTACCACATGTATTATTTGATAATTTTGTATTATTTTTCAGGACTCATGAATATTGAGATTGAGCTGAAAGACCGTAAACTGAACATGAATGTGTCACCTGTTCATGCAACTATTCTCATGCACTTCCAGGAAAAATGTAAGTTTCACTGCACTACTTAACAGAAAATAATCATGCTTGTGCAAACAAAATACATTGAAATAAAAATCTTAGACTTGCTGTGACCAGGATTAGAACCTGGGTTACCATAGCCACAATTTGGGACCTTAACCACTAGATGATCATGCTTAGGCTATCAGTCCAAGTTGAAACTATTAATTTCATATAAGTCCTGTATATTTTCATAATATTACTTTAAAGAATTTTCTAATTCAAAACAAACAAATAATGTTGGACTTGCTGTGGGGTCCTAACCACTAGACGATCACGGCTAGGCTAGCAGTCCAACTTGAAATTATCAATTTGATTCCTGTATATTTTCAAAATATTGCCTTAAAGGCATGTTCAAAACAAACAAAAAAATGTTGGACTTGCCGTGACCAGGATTCGAACCTGGGTTACCACGGCCACAACGTGGGGTCCTAACCACTAGACGATCACGGCTAGGCTAGCAGTCCAACTTGAAATTATCAACTCCATTTAGTCATGTATAGCTTAAAAATACCTGGGGATAGATGTTTTATTACAATTAACTAATTTCTGTAATCAAAGTTATTAAAAAGCGAATATGGTTTCAATTGACCCTTTTCTGTTTAAATGGAAAAATAGATGGCATCGTGGGTATTAGTAGGGCTAGAATACATGGAAATGTATTGCCAGAGTCACTTAATTTTTTGATCTAACAAGTAGTTCCATTTGGATCAACTTAAATCATGAGTTGAATGTAATTTTATAAACCTATTGATATGTGGATTGTGATTTAAAATTAAGACACTTATCAGGGGCGTAGGGAAGTGTAAATGCAACACTACGCCAAAAATCCCGCCAAAAAAATATGAAACAATTGTGTCAATATTCTATATCAAAACGCCTATATAATGCTTGTAAAACGTCATTTTATGGTAACAGATTTTAAGCTTGCAATGTTTTTCACAACCTAAATGTGAACGGAAATACTTAAGCGATGCATTTATATGGGCGATTGGTCATACGTATAGGTTGGCGTTTCGATTTTATATGCAAGCTTTAAATCCCTGATACCTTTTTAATGTGCTTTAAAATGTTCGAATGATTTTCATCATTTAAAATCACCTTGGAAAGCCTATCTTTTAAATCTCGACACAAATCATTCTCACTTTGCAAATGTCTCGAACGATTGAGACGACCAATTTCCAAAAAACAATTAGAGATTTTTTAATCATTTTCGAATAATTGATTGTCTGATTCCATCGTGTACCGTGCAATACAATACGTACAGATTAAAGAAACTAGTTTGATCAATTGATATAAAGAAACGCATTCGTGATCAATAAAACAAATAAACACACCCACCACAAAGGTCAAATCGAGGTCAACGTGACTTAGGGGGTGCCAAAAATGTTATAAAACAAGAATCTATTATTTTTCAAATGAAAAAAAAATAGGTAATCGCTTTTCTAGAACTGAAATCAATGGAACGTGTAATTGAATAATCAGCATTTTCACGTTGTTTTTGTCTTTAACATCCATATTTCAAAAAGTACTACCAATAACAATTAGTGATTTAGTAAGAAAATAGATACTTGTTGACTTAACTATAATTTCGTGTCTTATGATTTTGCATAGCAACGGAATATAAATCGATAGTGAAATTGAAAAATTTGGGTAGGGGAGAATAAAAAATGTACATCTAAATTTAAAGAGGTTCATCATTATAATTATATGATACCATAGTTTGCATAAGCATTACGGAAAATGCAGAAAAAATGTCAAAGGTATTCATCAAGTAGTTTTTGAAAAAAAACTGTTTTCCTCTCAAATTCGTGAAGAGAACGTGATTCATGAATATTTGGCAAAATTGTATTCATAAGACATTCAATAGTGGCTCGATTTTCATGAAATAAAGCATGTTGGTAAGAGAATTCAATCTGTTAAATGATATTTTCCAGACAGACCAATAATGATATGGTATCCACAAAACATTTCTTTAGGCTAGTGTGCTCGAGATTATGAACACTGATGAGAAAATATGACTAAAGAACATAGGAAAATTCTTTTTTATTCTCACTTTTCAACACTACGCACTGGCGTTTTGGCGTACATTGTTCCTACGCCACTGCTTATAAGAGTAAATGAACTTTTTAAGGTTTTTCAACATTGTGTCAATGGGGATTTAGCCTGTCAGACCTTTTTCAGAAAACTTGAAAATCTTCAAAATTTGAATCAGGGTAAATATGGTAAAACCTGAGTTAGTGAACACATCTCTCTCGTGAATACCTATCAACAGTGAACGTTTTTTTGGCAAAACTTTTTTCCAATCGACTACCATGTTAAAGTACAATCCTATAGTTAACACAACCAAGTGTTTGAACTTTGAACAGTTAATACTAAATCTTGGCAGAATCAATTGAATTATCTCCTGTCTCTAGTGAACATTGGCTATTCACCATTACCCTGTTAACCATCGACAGCCCTAGTTATTATGAGTAGAAAATACAAAATAAATTGATTATTTCCTCCTCTCTTTTAGCTTTGTTTCATAACTGGTCTCTTTATATAATACTGCAAAATGCCACAAAATCAAATTCTTGCTGGAGTGAACACCTACCAACAGTGAACATTTAGTGAACACCTACCAACAGTGAACATTTAGTGAACACCTACCAACAGTGAACGTTTAGTGAACACCTACCAATAGTGAACATTTTTTCTTGGCAAAAAATGTTCACTATACACACATTCTTCTGTAACTGTGCAAATCAAAGCTTTTTTGATAGTAAATTACAAATTGAATTCAAATATGCCACCAAATAGAAGACAATGTTAGTCTTTAATGGTTAAAAATGCAGATCTCCTAAAATCTCATTAAAAACAAGACTAACAAGATTTCAAAGCTATATGGAAAGAGGACCATTAAAAAAGGGAAATTGAAATAAATGTAATTTAATGCGACAAAAACACCTAATTAATGGTGCTTGACTTAATTTACTGATTTGGAAAGACCACATTTAAGAGCAGCAAAGATGCAGAAAATTGTGAAAACAATAAAAGCATAATAGTAGCAAGCGCATTCAATTAAGATTAAGTTAATCTGGAGTCTAATAATACTTTTTGATGTACTCTTCCCTTAGATCAATATATGATGGACAAATCAAAATACTTGTTTGAAATAAACTTAAAATATTTTATACTTCTATAACGTTACTGTAACATTTTTTATTGATTTCAATATGAGATGTACTGATCTTATATTTAAGTCTCTTCTTATTTCCAGCCAGATGGAGTGTTGAAGAATTGAGTGGGGTCATGCACATGGCCAGCTCAACATTGAGACGTAAGATCACTTTCTGGCAGAGTCAGGGTCTATTGAAGGAGGAAACAACTGATACATTTGTACTGGTAGAGGAGCACAAGGGCAAAACACATGAGGTAAATACAGTAAAACCTGTCAAATCTGAACACCTCTGGGACCAGCCAAAGGTGTTCAGATAAGCAGGTGTCCACATTTCAAGGCTTTGTAAATATGTAAGTCAATATGAGAAAACTAATTTAGGACCGAGAAAAAGTGTTCACATTGAGAAATGTTCTGATTAGAGAGGTGTTCAGATATACAGGTTTCACTGTACATATAACATATACTTGAGGATTAGCGTATCATCAGTACATCCCTGAAGAAGTTCAGCATATACATGTAGTAAACTGTTGATAAATGTCACCACCATAAAAGTGGTTGTTAACAATATGTTAACATTAAAAAAGAGTAACATATGTTCTTTAGTGTTCATAGATCTCCATACTATATCTTGCTTACCAGTATATATACTCTCATAAATTCCTCTCTGTTCTGTTGCATTGGTCTATCTACTGAAATAACATTATTGTGGTTTATTTTGGGGAGAAAGTACAATTCCAATTCTGTATGAAAGTGTAATATTCTCCTACATATTCATGGTATTCATGTACTTTCAGGATGTTATAGAGGATGAGGAAGTAGAAAGTAATATTGTCCTCCATATCCATGCTGTTCTTGTATTTTCAGGATGTTCTAGAGGATGAGGAAGTAGAAAGTAATATCCTCCTCCATATTCATGCTGTTCTTGTATTTTCAGGTTATTATAGAGGATGAGGAAGTAGAAAGTAATATCCTCCTCCATATTCATGCTGTTCTTGTATTTTCAGGTTATTATAGAGGATGAGGAAGTAGAAAGTAATATCCTCCTCCATATTCATGCTGTTCTTGTATTTTCAGGTTATTATAGAGGATGAGGAAGTAGAAAGTAATATCCTCCTCCATATTCATGCTGTTCTTGTATTTTCAGGTTGTTATAGAGGATGAGGAAGTAGAAAGTAATATTCTCCTCCATATTCATGCTGTTCTTGTATTTTCAGGTTGTTATAGAGGATGAGGAAGTAGAAAGTAATATTCTCCTCCATATTCATGGTGTTCATGTATTTTCAGGTTATTATAGAGGATGAGGAAGTAGAAAGTAATATTCTCCTCCATATTCATGCTGTTCTTGTATTTTCAGGTTGTCATAGAGGATGAGGAAGTAGAAAGTAATATCCTCCTCCATATTCATGGTGTTCATGTATTTTCAGGTTGTTATAGAGGATGAGGAAGTAGAAAGTAATATCATCCTCCATATTCATGCTGTTCTTGTATTTTCAGGTTGTTATAGAGGATGAGGAAGTAGAAAGTAATATTGTCTTCCATATCCATGCTCTTCATGTATTTTCAGGTTATTATAGAGGATGAGGAAGTAGAAAGTAATATTGTCCTCCATATCCATGCTGTTCATGTATTTTCAGGTTGTTATAGAGGATGAGGAAGTAGAAAGTAATATTCTCCTCCATATTCATGCTGTTCTTGTATTTTCAGGTTGTTATAGAGGATGAGGAAGTAGAAAGTGCAATGGCATCCAGTGAAGCACAGAGAGAGGAGGAACTACAGGTTGAACTTTTTTATATGGAAAAATCATGGAAATTTTTCTTTTCATTTTCCAGTTTTCATGCATTAAAAATAATAGTTCTGTGGCTTAAATATGAAAACAATTGAAATTCATGCGAGTATTATTTTTGTGAACAGTGTGCTTGATAATCCACATAACTTTGAGGTATTGATAACTCAATGAGAACTGTATATAAGCAGTTTATTCTTCTTAACACTTATAACTTGTTTGAGCAATTTAGTCTAGAAATAGACTCACAATATATCAACGATTTCCAGTGATCATGCCCTGGACCTTTCAAATGGGTTTTGGGACACATCATAACTCTTTCGCCTGGTTTATAAATTCCTTACAATTTAATATGATGTATGGTTTGAATATATGCATGGAAGGTCTATGTTTCAGGTGTATTGGTCATATATAGTAGGAATGCTGACCAACTTGGAGACATTACCAATAGATCGAATCCACAGCATGTTGAAGATGTTTGCCATGCAAGGTCCTACAACAGCAGAGTGTACAATACAAGAATTGAAGGCTTTCTTAGACAGAAAGGTGAAAGAACAGAAACTGTTATTCACTGGTGGTGTATACAGACTCCCTAAGCCTGGATCATAGCATACATAAACATTTTAGTATAAATATGTACATGTATGATACTATTCAATATAATGGGACATTGATTATGCCAAATAAAAGGGTACTTTATATTTACATACATTTCCCTTCAAATATTTGGCAACCCTTACTTCACCATTATTTAGATACATGACTTATAAAACCTGTTTTTGTTTGAATTTTTATATGCATTACGTTTAATGGAAAAAATACCTTCTATCCTAAACAGGCTACTACATGAAGTCTTATGGGGTGGTTAAGATTGCCAAACTTTTATACAGGAGTGTAGCTTACGGAAGTGAAAGGGACAGCCAAACATTTGCAAATCAATATCTTGCATTTATTCTGTAAATTCGAAATGCCCAGCGCATATGGGTGAATAAAAAAGGCACAAGGCGAACAATATGGCACCCTTAAAAAGAATATCAGTATGACTATATGTAAAACTTATGATTATGGTTAGTTTGTAATCTTTGGAGATTGTTGAGACATAATCAAAAATGGATACCTTAAGATTTACCCAGCATGCCCAAAAACTAAGCGCTGATTTTATGGTTCTAGGTCTTCTAGGAATCGAGTTCAAAATGTAATTTAGGTGGTCCAGCTGTTGGCCCAACTGATCACAACTTGGAGGTTGACCCCAAAATGTTACCCCTTATTTTGGAATTATTTTCTTTCTTAATACATGTAATGTTTTTGAATTGTTCAGATAGCGTTCAATTTGTGAAATAAACCTGTATAGTATGTGCATTAAAGATTTCAGAGAAATCATGTTTTTTCTCCGACTCTGAGCATGAGAAAATTCAAGATTTGACCTTAATTGAACTATTCCAAAATAAGAGTGGTGTATGTTGGGGGGTTAATCTATAGCCCACAAGGGTGTGATAATAAAAATGAACAAAACATTGAATATTAATTTCTTCTGTAGAGTCACTACTACATGCTTCTATTATTTGTGCATCTCCTATATTAAACTCTGCCTTAATGCAGTTCATATCTCACCAGTGTTCTCAACACTCATATATCCTATAGTACAATTTAATATTCATTGACATTTCCTCAGCCATATTTATATATAAATATATACATTATATCATTTACATTTTTTTCAACAATAAATTTACAAGCTTGAATTGAAAACTACATAATATATACATTTCCTTATCGTAGCTGATATGTTGTTGGCATTGACAAGCACTGACCCAAAATATGAGAACGTTCCATCATGAAATTTGAAAAAATTGGAAAATGATTGCCATGACAACCTCAGTGTAACTTTGAATAAGGAATAACAATATACAGTATAATATACTATTTAATTAAGTTCAAAATAAAACAGATTGAATCTGAAATTTTATGTTTGCAAATAAACAAACCCAGTTTAGAATTACTATAAACTAAGACAATAAAATAAGAGAATTTTCAAACTGTTCTTAAAACTTGTACAGTAGGCCTAATATACATTTTCAAAACAGTCATCAATGCATTATTATTATTTAAATGTTTAATACAGTAATATCAAGTCAATAACATAATCAAAATACTTTTTTGAAAATTGAGTTAGTATCGTGCTGCATGAGGACAATACAAAAAGAGGTTGGAGTAAAATGTTACTGAATTCACTTATTCCACCTTTTAATAATAAATAATACAAGACTGAGTGCGATTTATTGGCATCAAAATCTCAGTATGGAAAATACAGGATATTCAGTATTAAATAAATAAAATAAAGAAGAGCAAACATATAATATGAAAAATAATTTCTGAAAATATAGTAACTAGCAATTACACATCAAGACTCAAGAGACAATTTTATGGCTATATACCTGCACACAATCCAATGTGAAAAATTGAACATTCAGGTATATTATTGTATTCCATACCCACTGAGGTACATAACAAAAAGGAATCTATAGTGTAACTAGTGGATACAGGCTCATTTACGAAAGAAAAATTATATTTCAAACTTATGCTGTATATTTTAAATTTTAATGTTAATTCATTGATCTAAAAACTACTTTTTTAGACTAAGAAAAAGCATACCTAAAGTAAGTTTTTGAATTTTGGAACATCATAAGATAAAATGTACCTAGAACCTCAGTAGGTATGGAATACGTCTACCGGTTTAGGATACAGAGTTTATCCCTCGGGAAATATGTGTATCTCCCTTGGATCCCTGCAATCCCTCGGGAGATACACATATTTTCGTTAGGATAAACCCTGTATCCAAAACCTCCCAGTACATAACCCTTATATATTCTAAAGTCTCAATCATTATGAGATATGTAGGCCTTAAATAGCCCATCAGGATGAATATCCTGCATATGTACCCACACATGTCGTTTGCTGTGTAGATTTTACACAGATGTCTATGTTCTAATGAGATGACTTACATGTAAGTGGTACACTCTTCCCAAAAAGTTTGCTAACTGTAGTCCCCTTATAGACCATGCTTTTCGATGCTTAATCCATTGAAGACTTTTGGTTTCCAAACTTATGGAGAGGAATGTATTATTGTCAGTATTTAACAAATATAATACTTTGTCTATAACTACTGGAAGAGATCACTCCGTATATACTCATGAGTTGCAACTTGCAAGTCACATAGGTTAATGCTGAGATCACAGATATGACCCTTTAACACAGAAAATATATACATTGACAGTATTATGTCTCAGATACAACCCTTTAAAGAGGCATTTAAAACATACATTGACAGTATTATGTCTCAGATACAACCCTTTAAAGAGGCATTTAAAACATACATTGACAGTATTATGTCTCAGATACAACCCTTTAAAGAGGCATTTAAAACATACATTGACAGTATTATGTCTCAGATACAACCCTTTAAAAGAGGCATTTAAAACATACATTGACAGTATTATGTCTCAGATGCAGGCCTTTAAAGAGGCATTTAAAACATATGTTGACAGTATTATGGCTCAGATACGACCCTTTAAAGAGGCATTTAAAACATACGTTGACAGTATTATGTCTCAGATACGACCCTTTAAAGAGGCATTTAAAACATACGTTGACAGTATTATGTCTCAAATACGACCCTTTAAAGAGGCATTCAAAACATACGTTGACAGTACAGTAGAACCTGCAAAGTGGAACACCTCTATAAGTGGAACACCTCGCAAGTGGAACACTTTTTCAAAGTCCTGTTTTAGAAACCCATTGACTTAATGTTAATTGAACCTCTGTAAGTGGAACACCTCCAAACTTGAACAGTGAACACCCCATATTGAAAAATTAACCTGCTAAGTGGAACAGTCAATTTTCCATAAATTTCAATTTCAATTCGTGATACTTATGTAAACAGAATTAAACTCCTACAGTGATGTCTGGGTATGAAAACAGGTAATAACGTGATAATTGGCAAATTAGAATTTTAACAGATTACCATGTAGCAAAATTGGATTAACCTCCTGTAGAGATCAACATGTGATGCTACCACTAATTAATTTGATAATCAGTAAATTAGGATTTTATAAGTTTATCATTCATGAAATTGGATTAACCTCCTGTAGAGATGGACATGTAATTCTACCACTAATTAATACCCCTTGCTGTTTGTTGACTTGATAAGTAAGATTAAGAATGTCAGTTAAAAACAAATGAATTATAAGCAGTAGGAACTAGTCTTTAAAACTTAATTGCCAAATCTTTGTGCCTGAGACTGACAGAATGAGGAGGATTAAGAATGTCAGAAAATGTTTTTGGCAGAATGAGGAGGAATAAGAATGTCAGAAAACATTTTTGGCAGAATGAGGAGGATTAAAGATGTCAGATACCTTTTTGAGTAAAACAAATGGATAATTAATGGTGTATAGCTGCGCTGCAATGAACAGAGAATCATATTTCCAGTGATACATATAAACCCTATATTTCATTTTGCATGTTCTTTAAACCTCCACAAACCCTAACGCTTTTTGGCAGAACGGAGGGTGTTCCACTTACACAGGTTCTTCTGTATTATGTCTCAGATACGACCCTTTAAAGAGGCATTTAAAACATACGTTGACAGCATTATGTCTCAGATACGACCCTTTAAAGAGGCATTTAAAACATACGTTGACAGTATTATGTCTCAGATACGACCCTTTAAAGAGGCATTTAAAACATACGTTGACAGTATTATGTCTCAGATACGACCCTTTAAAGAGGCATTTAAAACATACGTTGACAGTATTATGTCTCAGATACGACCCTTTAAAGAGGCATTTAAAACATACGTTGACAGTATTATGTCTCAGATACGACCCTTTAAAGAGGCATTTAAAACATACGTTGATAGTATTATGTCTCAGATACGACCCTTTAAAGAGGCATTTAAAACATACGTTGACAGTATTATGTCTCAGATACGACCCTTTAAAGAGGCATTTAAAACATACGTTGACAGTATTATGTCTCAGATACGACCCTTTAAAGAGGCATTTAAAACATACGTTGATAGTATTATGTCTCAGATACGACCCTTTAAAGAGGCATTTAAAACATACGTTGATAGTATTATGTCTCAGATACGACCCTTTAAAGAGGCATTTAAAACATACGTTGATAGTATTATGTCTCAGATACGACCCTTTAAAGAGGCATTTAAAACATACATTGACAGTATTATGTCTCAGATACGACCCTTTAAAGAGGCATTTAAAACATACGTTGACAGTATTATGTCTCAGATACGACCCTTTAAAGAGGCATTTAAAACATAGGTTGACAGTATTATGTCTCAGATACAACCCTTTAAAGAGGCATTTAAAACATAAGTTGACAGTATTATGTCTCAGATATGACCCTTTAAAGAGGCATTTAAAACATACGTTGACAGTATTATGTCTCAGATACGACCCTTTAAAGAGGCATTTAAAACATACGTTGATAGTATTATGTCTCAGATACGACCCTTTAAAGAGGCATTTAAAACATACGTTGATAGTATTATGTCTCAGATACGACCCTTTAAAGAGGCATTTAAAACATACGTTGATAGTATTATGTCTCAGATACGACCCTTTAAAGAGGCATTTAAAACATACGTTGACAGTATTATGTCTCAGATACAACCCTTTAAAGAGGCATTTAAAACACACATTGACAGTATTATGTGTCAGATACAACCCTTTAAAGAGGCATTTAACACATATATTGATAGTATTATGTCTCAGATACAACCCTTTAAAGAGGCAATTAAAACATGCATTGACAGTATTATGTCTCAGATGCAGGCCTTTAAAGAGGCATTAAAAATATACATTGACAGTATTATGTCTCAGATACAACCCTTTAGAGAGGCATTTAAAACATACATTGATAGTATTATGTCTCAGATACAACCCTTTAAAGGGTGACGCATATCGCTTAGCAAATCGAACGCTCGTTTGTGGTGTTGCTCACCGTTTAGTATAAAAGGCCCGATCCCGGAATAATACTCTAGGGTTCACAGGTTTGAGGTCATTGTGTCAACACCTCTAACTGTTATATAGCATAAGTATATTATAGATCGTCACACATTTATAAAAGGGTGATTTTTATTTTGACAAATCAATTCCACATTTATGGGTGAAGTTTCAGGATCTTTTATTTGTGTACAATAAGGAAAAATTGGCATCTAAACTTCCCCATAACGTAATAGGACACAGCTTTGCATATGAAATATCCGACAAATGAAACAAAGCAAGACAAACCGGTTTCTAATACAAGGATTTATATTGGCTGTTGTACATGTATTCTTTGAACGCAATCACTCTTTGGATAACGTTTTCAAAATCATTATAAACGGATTACTTTATCTCAAAGACAATTTCAATAAACTGGATTTTACAGAACTCCCCTTATTTCTTAAAAGTGGACTGATCCAGTTGATTCGCCTGGAGCCGCCATATTGTTTTTATACGGGATGCTAATCGGAACCCTTTAAAGAGGCATTTAAAACATACATTGACAGTATTATGTCTCAGATACAACGCTTTAAAGAGGCATTTAAACATACATTGACAGTATTGTGAAAATGTTTCAAGCAATAGAGTCTATCAGTCTGACGTTTAGATAGAATGTAGGGCAATGAACCCTACCATTATTGTATTTTAAAGTAATCCTTGCTAGACCATTTCTCTCCTGATTGGTAGCTACTTCAGCCTTCTTGTAGCAATTATGACAGTGGTTTAATTGATTTCGGAAACTATATTGCACCATCAGTTGTGGCCTTGATGAGTCCCTGCGATAGCTTATACATCTACAACCTTTATAATGACCTTAAAATAGTAGCCCTCATAAATCTATGTAGCCATGATGTATTTAATTGTTCATTAGTTCTGGGATTAGAGTCTCTCTGAAAAAGATCTTCCCAGTTGACCTGAAATATCAAATTGGTGCTTTTTGGTCCAAATCAGGGACTTTTTTGTATCAAACTTGCATTTCCAGGATTTCACATGCCTTCACCTTTCTAGTGTATATCCTCTCATCCAATCTTATCAATGATGATCTCTTGTCAATAAGCCCTTTACTTCCAAAGTTTTCAGGGACATCAATCACCTTAAGTTTAAACTTATCATAAGTAGTTCCTGGGTGAAATATTTTTTAACTTTAATTAATCCCTGGTCAGGCCTCAGATATTAGACCTAATTTTTGGGAATCAGTCTTCCATTAGATTCTTAGAAAGTCAGATCTCTGTCATAAATTTGACCTTATTTACCCAAGATCAGGCCTCAGTCATAAATTTGACCTTATTTATCTAAGGTCAGGCCTCAGTCATAAATGTGACCTTATTTATCCAAGGTCAGGCCCCAGTCATAAATCTGACCTTATTTACCCAAGGTCAGGCCTCAGTCATAAATTTGACCTTATTAACCAAAGGTCAGGCCTCAGTCATAAATTTGACCTTATTTATCCAAGGTCAGGCCTCAGTCATTAATTTGACCTTATTTACCCAAGGTCAGGCCTCAGTCATAAATGTGACCTTATTTATCCAAGGTCAGGCCTCAGTCATATATTTGACCTGATTTATCCATGGCCAGACCTCCATCAGATATTTGACCTAATGTATCCAAGGTCAGACTTCAGTCAGGTATTTCATTGGACACATAGTTCTTTTATCTCTAGTTCTTATAAGCACCATTCCATGCTGATCTTCCTCAGACATCTGGATGACAATCTGAAAAAATAAAGGTACTTGGTATTCAATATAGATGCACGGTATTTAATATAGATGCATGGCGTGTCAGTTTGTACTATGCAGGACATACTATGCATAAAATTTGATATGGATGTTTGAGGTTGAATGACTGCATACTGTATTTTATCCAAGTGGTTAATTTGCCAAATGGTCAAATGTGATAATTTTAATTTTCTTAATGACACGAAACTTTCCATTGGATAACATTATGAAGATAATACTTCTGAACCTAACAAAAATTAGGCAATAGGCAAAATTACCACTTAATGTACTGTATTTATAAGTGTAATTGTTCAGATCAACATATTATTTGATATCAAAACTATTTACCTGATCCCTGTGTAGTTTCACCCCATTATCTCCCTCATTCAGCTGCAGACTGTGGGTAACTTGGCATACCTTCTCTCCATAATTTATGCGCTCCACATAGGATGCTGGGAAGAAACCTACTCTGCCATTGCATTTACCCTAAATTGAAAAGTCAATTTATCACTCAACTCAAAACAAAACAAAATAGGTATTTTATTCTAAAGTGAAATAACTTATTATAAGACCCTTATAAGTGATGACAATAGGTTCATTTTTGCATGACTGTTTCATAAGAATGAAAGAGGGTCTACCACCAAATTGAGTAATTGAGTATATGGTTCATGAAGAGATGTATAATTACTTTCCTACTCAATGTCAGGATTTAATAATGCATACAAATATGTTTTGCAATGTAAAGTATAAGTGGAAAAAGACTTGCCCCCCCATATACACTTACCTTCCACCAATCTGGGTCTGAGGTCTCTAATGTACTAACCCTCCAACCTGCCCTGGAACATACAATAAACTTTTAATATATACTCGTACATGTAGTTCACTTGTAATTTCAAAACTTATTGTTTTTACACTCCACCCTGAAATGAAATTACTTTCAAATTTTGACTTGAGTTATAGACTCTTAATCTCCAAATAAGAAACTTTTCTTCAACAATTAAGTATTATAGATATCTTATTATAAAGAGATGAAAGCTTACTTGATTTCCAGATCATCTTTCTCCCTTGGTTTAAAGGTGAACATGACAACATAGAGATTTGTCGGGAATTGCCTGGGGGAGCCGCGGGAACCAGACTGAAAATTGGGCAAAAATAACATCACTTTATGAATTGATGAATAATAACTAGTGAGGTACACTCAACCTGTACATATTGATTACTTAATTCTAACTGAATAGAGCAAGAACATATAAATTGACTAGAGATATCAGCAAATTGTTTAGAAAGTGTCAAAATGTGGAAATATTGAAGCTTATTTTGTTATGACATAATTGTTACACTGAAATTTAACTTGGATACAACTCAGATTAGTATTTTAATTTTTCATAATAATAAACTTATTAAGGTGCCAAATGTTCAACTTTAATGTTAATGTTAAAGGATTGGTATCGATATGGTGAACTGGATTCAACCATGCTTTTCTCTTAAACCAATTATTGAAATATTCTGTAAAAGAGTAACAGTCACTGATTGACAACAATTTAATGCTTAGACCTCTCAATATTATAGTTATACAAAGGAAAATTTGGTTGATTAAACAAAAAGTATTCAAAAAATTAAAACAAAAACCCCAACAATTGCAATATTGAGAGACCTAAACACGTTATTCATCTGACGTTTTGTTCCAATGGTTCGGATAGATGTTTCTTTTCATTCCGAACATTTGTGTCTGATGTGTTTTCTAAAACAATATAGAGAAAAGTATATATATTTATTTCAAATTATATTGTTACCATTCAAAGGATGATCATTAGATTGACGATGTGTGAAATTTTCAGAATTTTTTGATGACTGGTTTAATAGAAACCTGTGTTCAATTCAGTTCGCCATATCGATACCAATCCTTTAAAAAAAATTACTTACAGGAACAGGGGAGAGCCTCGGGGAAGATGAGTTGCTGCCTTGTAGGGAGCGATCGTACCAATCCTCAATTTCTAATGAGTTTGATCTATTATTAGACCACCTCTTCCTGGGATGAACTGGACTCTGGGGTGCTACAAGGAAAGTTGCTTAATTCTAAGATGTTTATCTTCATAACTATCTGTAGCATACAACAAGGTAAGTATTACATTTGAGTTGTAATTGCATTTTACTATACAGAATATCTAAATGTCTTGTATTATTTTTTATTGTATATTTTCATTATTTTATACACAATTAATTCATGTTTATTTTTTTAATCAATTTACAATAGCAAAATCAATATCTTCTATATTATATAACTATATTTATTGACAAAGGTACGAGTAAAACAAAATAAATCAAAAGCAATCTGCAATGAAAATATATTCTAAGTAAATAAAGTTGCATCGCATTGTACACATACATTGTCATCACTAAACCCTAAAATGGAAATCATCAAACAAATGCATTGTACAGTAAAACCTTTGTGTGCAAACTCCTTTCTAAATCCATGTATTATAGTCTATTATCTAGGTTGGAACACACTCCACTATAAGCTATAAGAAAAGTTTTGGTAGTTAAAAAAGTGTTTGCAGTAAACATATTTTACTGTACAATATAAAATATATTTCAAAATGTAACAATTTCCTGAAACCAAAATGAAGTTGAATGCAACAAAATGCAGAGAGAATGTGAAGCAGGCAGTTTACAAAGTGAGGTCAAGATCAGTCAAGGTCATGGGGTTATAGTAAAGGTCAAGGTCACTAACCAAATGTGAGAAAAGGTCATGGTCAATATTAGACTTGTTTTACACGTCACAGGGGTTCAGTTAATTGGGGTTGAGTCATCATACTGAAACACAATCATAATACTGAAAGGAGCTTTAAAACACCATTTAGAATATTTTAATTTGATTTTGATATATTCTATATCCTTTTCAGTACAAAATGATTCAGTATAATGCACATATCCCACTTAGACATGGTGGCTATAGTTTATGATGATATAACAAGCATCTTCCAATTATGGTATGTGTAATATATTGACCCAACAGGCAAGTACTATACATGTATGTACACAGCACAATAAAAGTCTTTCATGTTTGTTAAGATTGCATGAGATCTCGATTGTCTGAACATGCATATACAATAACCACTATGAGAAACGGTTATAACAATAGACCTTTCCAGTATAACTGCCATCGTTCACTGCATCAATGAAACTAGAATATATCAGTTAGATTCATGATGTATAGGATGTATGTTAAGTCGTAAAAAAAGTAGAGCATAAAAATAATCGAAATATTGCTCTGAAAGATTATCCTTGCTTCGTTTGGACAGTAAAATGTGGCAGGGTTTAGTTACATATTGGAAAGATGGTCTATTGTTTGTCGATGTGCAAAGAGAGAAGGGTGGTGGGAGGTTGTTTGGGGATGGAGGAGAATTAGATGAAAGTGCTAGAAAGATTGAATGAATGCTAGGAAATTAACCAGTTCCACTTATCATTTACACTCATTCATATAGCATGCAAAAGTCATATAACAACCTTTGGGCTTTTTATATGAAAATCAATCTACAATTTCCTGTGTTAATTTAAAGGATTCTGAAGTGTTTTAAACTATTAAGATTGTGAGTGTTGGATGATTGGATCAAAGAGTTTTTAATTGTGACATATCATATATCATTGTGACATAATGGTGACATATCATTCACTATTGTGATGTGTCTATTGTGATAAGACCTGCATGCATCCTCTGACCATGTGCTTGTATTATTCAAGTGTATACTCACACCAAGTGCATGCATTATGATGTAAGCTGACACTTGCGCTAGCTTGAAATACAATACACCAAAACTGTTATAAAAATGAACCCAAACAAATATGGGAATTTTAATTGGAGCATGAGGGACCAGATCAATATTTCAATGTCCCAAATTGTAATTTAATATCAGACTGACCCCTTCCAAAATGATAATTTATTGATTTCCATATGAACATCCTCCAAACACAGGCCTCCAGAACTCGTACCTTCCTTCTCCTTGGAAGAAGAAAGGAACTTAGTGGATGATGTCTGGAACCCTGCGTTTGGAGGATGCATTTAAATGTTGCTTCCCTTTATAAGTCAATGTTTGATAGTGAAACAAAATGGACTGTTACACCCCAGTCACATTTGTCGTACGGCGGCTGTACATTGACCGCAGATCAATTAAATCAGTGAATTTCTCCAGCAAGCGTAAGAAAACTACAGTCGCCTCGCGGTCTCAATACGGCGTATCCGATTTTTTACAGACCACAGCCATAGAAATTATAAGTCAGAGTTATAATATTTATTCATTTCTGCGGTCCCTGTAGAAATCAACAGGCCGTTGCCAGACAGCAGAACGGTCCCACGGTGGACGCACGTTGGGGTTACGTTGAACTGCGCCTGATGTAGTGTTTTGATGGGTTACGTTCCTTTGGAAAAAAATTTTCAGTTCAGGTTGACTGTCATATATTTGCTTTGAACACAAAGCAAAGGAATATTGTTTGATGTAAGGTCACTGATACCACAGCAACCTATGTTACAAAAGATTAAGTTACTATTGATGTATCACTTAACACTTTTTATTTGATATAATATCCTAGCACTATAAATTACATTTATAAATTGTACTGATTTAAACTAAATAGAAATAAACACCAATGTTTATCAACAGAAATTCAAAGTTCGCCGTGCAACTGCCGTAGGAAATGTGACTGCAAAAGCATCTGACCATACAAATTCTACGGCTAACTCAGAAATGTTACTGACCACAGAAATGATAGACTGCACGATCGCCGTAGGAAATGTGACTAGGGTGTTAGTCCCCCCATGTAATTATTTATATTGGGAGCAAACATCGATATATTGAACTTGTTCCTAAGAACTACAAGAAATACCAAGTTTATCCAATAGACAATGAATTGAGAATTTAAGCTACATGTATTATCACATACATTTTTGTAATGAAGCTAGAGAAGAAATTCAGTTTCAAGCAAGAGATAATAATAATAAATTAGTATACAAATACAAAATCTGTTGTATCTTTTTCATCATTTACATCTAAAATTTTAACTGTAACATTAGGAAATGTACAAAAACAGACACACATATACACCAGTATGAAAGGAGTACAATAATGATAGACCATAGACCACAGACCACAATTTGTCAAAGAAAATGTAAACTATATAACATAAAAATCTACTAATTACAGAGGTTAAAAAATCCAAAGCTTTTGACTTTAATTTTTGTTTAAGAGTCATTTGAGTAAATCATTGAAAAAACAGACCAGAAAGGTGTCCATTGAGTTGAGTATGTCACAGTGTTTGATTTGTGACTTCAAAGTGGGACAACAGTTGAAACACTGTTTGTTACTTTCAAGAAGCTACCAAATGGTCATTTAAGTACAGGTTATATTGTCAACAAAAACACACAATGACATTATAAAATTACATGGTACAGTGAAACCTGTAAAGTGGAACACCTCTAGACAAACTGACTGACTTTATGTTAAATGAATCTTTGTAAGATGAACACCTCCAAAGTGGAACACATTTTAGAGGTACCAAAGGTCTTCCACTTAAACATGTATATGACTACACATGATGTCACATATAATAATTTTTTTTAAAATATATAACACATGATATCACATATATGACACATAATATCACATATATGACACATGATATCACATATATGACACATGCTATCACATATATGACATGTGATATCACATATATGACACACGATATCACATATATGACACATGATATCACATATATGACATATGATATCACATATATGAGATATGATATCATATATATGACACATGATATCACATATATGACACATGATATCACATATATGACACATGATATCACATATATGACATGTGATATCACATATATGACACATAATATCACATATATGACACGTGATATCACATATATGACACGTGATATCACATATATGACACGTGATATCACATATATGACACGTGATATCACATATATGACACATAATAGATCACAAATATGGCAGATGATGACATGAGACTCAGACATACTTACACATTTGATACATGCAGGACTAGGAGAGCACTAGCACAAATGATTATCACAAACATACATGCATTATTATACACTCCCCACAAATAGTTTGGCGAACTGGAAGTCCCCTTTTAGAAAACATGTAAAAGCCTATTTATGTTTAGCAATTTTTATTCATTAATTTTCAGACATTTATGACCTAATTCTAATCGAGACACAAAATTAAGAATCATTAACAGGTTTTATCACAATATACTTAGAGGGGACTTCTTGTTGTCAAACTCATTTAGGGAGTGTATTCTTGGAGTATCAATGAACACAAACCAGACTACTATAAACAGGGAAGCATACATCTAAATCTAATGTGCATCACAATAGAAGCATTGGGGCACATGCTGTAAGTAAGACTCTACCTTTCACACATGTGTTAGTAAAAGAAGAACTTTTCTTTTTAGCATTTTCATCTATGGTTTGCAAAGCACTTGGAGGGTCGGGGGTGTCCAAAGAAAAACTTTTCATTCGATGATTCAACTTTTGTCGACGTCGTTGTGGAGTATGAGGAGCTACAACAGCCAATAAGATTAACTCTCTGTAAGCAACACTAGAAAATAATGCCAAGGTCAAATGCTCCTACGCTGTGACCTAGTTATCGAGCTGAACTATAGATGGAGTGGCATATCTACTCATGCAATGATGAATATTAAGAAACTGAAGGCAGAGACATATAATAACAAACTATCCAAATGAGTCAACAGCACCAATCATTACATCTCTTTTATATATGTCTCTGCTGAAGGCAAGATAAAGCTATTAAATCATCAATTGTATTGGCATTGTATAAGTTGTTGGCTATAGTAAACATGGTCACTGAAAGGCATGTTATATCCTAGTAGTCGACAAGCTGGCACACATCTACATATTCTAGTATGTGATGATAATGGTTGTGTCTAACTTTCTACTACTAACATACATAGGAGAAAATCAAGGAATTCTAATGCCCTTGATAGCCTCAATGCTCTCCTTGGGAGAAATGTAACTATCAATCCTGTGCTGGAAGAAAAGAAAACTGCTAGTCATTATCTCTAATAATTTAACATACACTGTGAAAGCATTTTACTGCAAAGAAAAGAAAACATGCTTAATGCCTTAAATCTAGGCGGAAAAAGACAAACCTGTGGTCAAAGCAAAGTGCCAAAGCAAGTCATGCATTTAAAAATGACAGTTCAAACAAAACATACAATACAAATAAGACACTTCACATTTAATGCTTATTTAATTGTTCTAATGGAAAATAAGATTCAACCATTAAATTCCAAATTTTATGTCTCTGATGGCATATATCATTCAATCAGTAAACCTCAAATAAAAAATGTTAATGAACAAAATTGCATTTTCAATGCACACCTCTCGGAACAATAGATAAGCATAACTTTGAGGTGAAATATCTTAAGGGAATGTTATAGTAAGACATCCAGGGCATACTTGTATATCCCTCATCTGTCATATCTGAACTGCCTGATGTGGATTCCTGGTGAACCAACATTAAAGGTGTTGAACTGATACGTGGAAATGGAGAATGCATGGGATCAGTTTCTGCAGCAATACGTGCTCCTCTAGTTGCTTTCCCAGTTGTTGTTCCCTTTTTATATTCATCAGCACTGCTTGTTCTGTTATGCTGGGAATGTTTGTCAGTTCGACGGACTGTTGGATCACTACGTCGTCTTAACTCCTGGGATTCTCCTGATCGTGGTGACTTTGAACGCAATTGGCTGATGTGACCCGATTCTGCAAGGGTATAAGACAGCAGTGCTTTAAGCAGACATAAACGAAACAATTTAATCAACAAATCGACCTGACACATACAAAAATGAAGGAAGCATCTACAAAGCACTGTTCGACAAAAAATCTACCTGTTTGTAGTTAAAAGTCCAGATGCAGTTTTACACATATTAGTAACTCTAACTACAACATGGCATTACATTAATTGAAACGTGTATTAATCATTCACTGAGCATCATATTTAAAGGTTCATTGCTTGAGTATCTATGAATAACTTAAACAGAGGAATGTCCATAATCTTTTCTATACTATTTTCATTCCTCTCCACAAATTGTATCAATTTTATTAAACTGCACAAATTTTTATACTTTAAAATAAAACTGTTTACTCATGGTTCAATTAAACACTTAGCATAGTTTGAAATTTACTTTGCAAAACTGAAAGCCAAACTAATATGATAGCTCATGTCAAAACATGCCCAATGAAACATAATACAGACTAAGAAACAAAATCAGTTAAATGCATACAAATACCAGAACAACGGCAACGACAAAGCGTAGCGAATCCCTTCGAACAGCCATGGATGGCATTTTTACAAACAAAGTATTTAGCAAAAATGGCAGGCATTTTTCAAAATGGCCGCCTTCTACCAAAAGTGTCATTAGACCATTTGCCATACTTATAGTATTCACATACCAAATATGAACAAAATCAATCCACTACTTTTCGAGTTATAGTAAAATACGTTAAAATGGCGGCCATTTTGAAAAATGGCCACCTTCTACCCAAAGTGTCATAAGACAGTGTGCAATGCTTATAGTATTCACATACCAAATATGAACAAAATCGCTTCACTACTTTTCGAGTTATAGTAAAATTTGAAATGGCGGCCATTTTTCAAAATGGCGTCCATTTTGTAAAATGGCCACCTTCTACCAAAAGTGTCTTTAGACAGAGTGCAATATTTATAGTATTCACATACCAAATATGAACAGAATCGCTCCACTACTTTTCGAGTTACAGCAAAAATCGTAAAATAACGAGTAAAGGCCGCCATTTTTCAAGATGGCTGCCATGTGCTTCTTTAATATCTACATTTCTAGCTTTATTAATGTCCTATATCATTTTTTTACAACTAAAACATATTGCTATTACAGTTTTACATAATGCACCTAAATTACTGTAAATTCGGCACTAAAATGGCCGCCATTTTGTAATGAGCGGCCATTTTGAAAATCGGCTTTCGAGCAGAACTTCTACCCCCATAGGGTATATGTGTACAAAATATGAACAAAATCGGGCGAATGGTATTTGAGTTATTGCCCGGACGGACGGAGGCGTTCCCTATATCCCTCCGAACTTCGTTCGATGGGATAATAACATTATTGAACAAAAGACACAGTACGCACATATAACTTTCTATAGTGAACTAATATAATTTTTGAATCTGAAAAGGAGATAGTATCTAAATTAAATAACATAAAAAAAAACAGTTGAGTAAAAGCTAAAAACATAAAAAGAAAACATCAGTCCTTTCCCCATTGAGGGCATTCAAGTTAGTGGAGATGACAAGGGTATAACTGTTCAAAACAGAAAGTTCTTCTTTCACACATACTTTACTTAGCGCAAATATATTACTGAGCAACAGCCTGACAGCAACAACATTCTACAAACGGCTTCCTGTATATTTTCCAGGAAAGGTTACAAACTAGTTTTCAATATCTTTTATTGCAAGACTTTTTGCTATAATTTCTAGTAACATGCCATACATCTCTATTGTTCAAAAATTCAAACAGATTGAAGCATCTGTGATATTATCATCCATAATCCCCATTGACATTCACACAATGACATTACGAGGAAATTTAGCTGCATGCAATTTACGTGATAGCCAGAATATCTACACATATGAAGAATACAAATTCTTCTTGTTTTCTGACCAAAGCAAGAATAACATAGTTTAACAATGTTGTATATATTCAGATCAAATGAAATGTGACGTTTCAAAGTCTGAATCAAATAAAAACAGTTTATAGCACAGTGAAGATAAGCCACACAAAATGACACTTATCGAGAGAAAAAAATTACGTTTGCCAGCATTGCTGTAAGCTAATCGAAGCTTTGCTGCCCTATCCTCTTCAAAATGTTTGCGCAAAACTCTCTCCCTTAGAGAAGTAGTTGGGTCAGGGACATCAACCGAATGACTTTTTGTGTCCTCCAAACGGAAGCGTACTCTATGAGAGGGAACATCCAGTGAATGACTTTTAAACTTGAGAATGCACCTCCTAGGTCTGGATTTAGAAGCTTTACTACGGGAGTCTTGAAATAAACAGAATTAGAAATAAAAAGAACAGATTTAACTACATACACTATGCATGACAAACATGCTGACATTACACTCAAACGCACAAGAAAATAAACAATACCAAGAGACAATCTTGTAACTGAATAAACATCACAAACATTATTGCATATGCTTATACCTGTAATAATTGAAAATGAATCATGCTTGGATGTGAAAAGTCACATAAGACCAAGTTCATATTCAAATAATAGTTGTAATATTCATATAAAAGTCACAATATAAATACAGCTCTCATTAAGTCGCATGAAGAATATGTTATATGCCTATTTCTAAAAACCTGTCCTAAGAAATTCATCACATAGAACATAATTGAATCATTCTATTCATCACACAATATCAAATTATTATATCCTCTACTGACGGATGGGGGAAGGGGACGCCAGGCAACAGACATCCCTAGTTTATAAGCACATATCAATCTTAATTATCGCTCATATTGTACCACACGAGCACAATTATTTGATTCACATCTATACATGTCAGCTCCACTGGTTGTCATGCAATGCAATGTTAGTACCAGATCCACCAGCAAGGAAATAATATTTACTGAATGTTGGACATATCAGATTCAGCCTCCCTTCAGTTGGTTTTCCTTGCACCAGTATCCTCCAAGTCTGATGACTGAGCTCGAAGATCATCAAGTCATTCTTTGTGATATACTGAAAACTCTTTGTACATAGCACCTCATCTTCTGGTTTTCTTCTGATTCTACCTAGCTGGGTTACTGTTGGTTTTTTGGACTTCATAACAATGTGATTTGTGATGATGGAATGCAATACGACTGTGGCCTCTTTTTGTTAATTTGAATTTCTCGAATGTTTTAACCAAATTTAGTTTAATCTTTGACTGGTATCTCCAAAAGGAGGCAAAACAAGAACATAGGGCCATGATGTACTTAGAAAGGATTCCCATCAATGGTTAGGAGGATTAGTTAAGTTGTTTTTAGATGAAGTGTTCCAAATTTGTGACAATGATATCTGACTTTACCGTTGTCAGGCTATTCCGGTGTGAAAAGGAAAGAATAAAAAGTGTTACAAAACAGAGCAAGAAAATGTCAAACATCTTAGAGTACAAACAGTTGAGAGGAAAACAAATATCCCAAAATATCTTAAACTAACATATAAAGAAACATTATGTCGAATACCTCCATCCCCACCAAAACAATTTTATATTTCATTCAAACTGAACATCATTTACATATGTTAAAGAATAAATTAAAAATTAAAACCAAGACTCTAGACATTAAAAAAAGTTGTAGATACTACAATTTATGTAGCATTCATACAAGTCTATAATACACAATAATTTACAACGTCAAAAGTACAGACGGGCATATGAACAGAACAGTGGAAGGAGTTGGTGATTCTATAGGCTCACCAGGTGTCATAAAGCAAGGCATTATCAGATTATAATTGACTTTATCATTTTACTGACACTTTAAATTTAAAAACTCATTATTGCCAATTCAAAATGAACAAATAATGTGCTGACAAAAAGTGACTGGAAATAATGCAGAAAAAATGGCAATACTAATGGCAATACTGTGCTGTAAATGAGTCATTGGAAGATAATGTCCAGTAAATGAGATGATTGGGAAAGGATGTCCGGTGAATGAGTAATTGGGAAAGAAATAAGAATCAACATTGAATGCATGTTTCCAGGAATAGATGTCCAGTGATTTGGAATGAAAGTAATGTCCAGTAAATGAATGTTTGAGAAAGAATGTCCAGTGAATAAGTGATTGGGAAAGAATGATCATGCTATAAAGTTTCATTGAATTTGCTGAGTCCTACTGTATATAAATAACATTACCTAAGCACAAACAGCATATTAAGCTAAATGGTTTCAAGCAAAATGGTAATATGCAAATTAAAAGATGAGCGGATATGAAATCATAATACTCAGTATAGGCTAAAGCAGTGTATATCAGTTTATGAGTGTGTTTTTCAAATTTTGTCAATGGCCCTTTTTGATTATGTGGTCCACAACCATACACTGATTTGGTTCACAATATGCATCTTTGTAGGGTGGGTTTCCTTACATTAAGGAGGCGGCAATCAGTTCTGTATCAGGACACTAATATAATGCACAATTCTAGACATAATTACAATATTCTAGATGTACTGTACTCCAAAACTGATCATATTACCTGGAGAATAGAAAATTGTTTGGGCACATATCTGTGGTATGGTGCCCAATGGTAAAAATTATGTTTTGGTTTTTCCCTACCCCTCCTCATATTGCAAAATTTGATATCACCTTCACTTCATATGAGGTCACTCCTGGGCCTGAACATAACTAACTTCCTTATTCCACAACGATTGATATTTTGACACCATCCCCAAGCCCAATTTACAAGGACATTTTGGTGATATAACCAGTTTACAAGGTGGTGATACTAGGCCGGCAACAACATTTACAAGGGTGTTTTGATGATATAACCAGTTTACAGGGTGGTGATACAAGGCCGGCAACAACAATTCTTGTAGAATACCTTGAACTGTTAGATTCACGCGTGGGTGTACTGGGTGCAAACAATTCTCACACAAAGATGGTGAAAGCAAAGCTATAGTGTCTGCAGGTAAAGATGTGCAGGGTGTCCAACGCTCTGCAAGTAAATAGGGACACTTAAAATCCATATACTAGTTAGAAACTCAGAGAAACGAAGATATTCCTGAATCTGAATTAAAAGTAATGTACAGTACAATTGGTGAATCCAGCCTTACTTCTCCCATTCTATATTATGTATTGTTAAAACAGCATATACTGTAGTTTATATATGTGTGATAAAAAGTTTATATATTCAGCAAATTGCCAATAATGGTATTTATTCCATAATAACATGTTTTCCCTGGGAAAATAACAGGGAATAAAAGTGTTATTTGAAAAATCCCGTATCAGATCCCGTATCAGCCAAAATCCCGTATCAGATCCCGTATCAGCAAAAATCCCGTATCAGATCCCGTATCAGAAATATTCCCGGTAATTTCTCTTGAGTTTTACGCTTTTCGTCTAGCACATCTCTACAGGAAGTAAAAAAATCGTTTGGAAAATTGAAATTATTGAAATTATTATCATCTAGTTTACGTCTATTACTGTGACAAAGGTCTATTACTGTGACAAATATGTCTAGGTATGCATCAGAGGATGTTGATGACTTCATTAAAGGTCAAGAAAATATCAATACTTCGAAGAAAACTAAAAGTGACATAAAAATCCTAGTAGATTTTTTACGGAGTGAGAGGAATGAACTCAGACCGATCGAGGAGATAGATCCCCATGATCTTAATGACCATCATTGGATGATGACATACAAAAATTGAAAAAAAAATATTATGAAATAAATAGGTTATTGATGGTCGTGATGGAATATGGATTTATTCCTTGAGAAAATATGATATTGGCCTCAGAAAATATCATATTGACACTCGGGCTATCGCCCTCGGTCAATATGATATTTTCCTTGGCCAATATCATATTTTCCCTCGGAATAAAATCCATATTCCATCCCTCCCATTAAATAACCTCTATATATAACTGCATACAAGTTTGACTTTCAATCAAATCATTACCATTGGATCTTTGTCTCATCCAGACAATCAATAAATAAATGATAAATCAGATCTCTTGAATAATGGATTTTTTTGTTTAGTTTATTTTACTGTTATATTCAGGAATAGTAAATAGAAACCTGACAGCCAAGTTCTGTAGTAGCCTAGTTCTTAAAAATGATGACAATGAATGAAACACACTTTGTACTAGTACTAATATTACTAGTTGAACAGAGTTGGTTCAAAGGATTGGTATCGATATGGAGAACTGAATTCAACAATGTTTTTCTCTTAAATCAATTATTGAAAACATTCTGTAAAAAACACGGCATTTTATGTAATGTTGACTGATTGACAATTCTTGAGAATGAAATAAAATGTCTTTCCGAACCTTGTTGGAACAAAATAGCATATACGACATGTTTTTAGACCTCTCAATATTATAGTTATACAAAATAGATTAAAATCAAGATGAACATTTCATTTATTTTTAAAATCAACCAAAATCTCTTTGTACAATTACAATATTGAGAGACATAAACATGTTGTGTTTATGTCGTTTTGTTCCAATGAGGTTCGGAAAGATGTTTCATTTCACTCTGGAAACATGATACCAAGAACAAAACAAGTGTTTGATGTGTTTTCTAAAACATATTAACAATATAGATGAAAGTATATATATATTTTTCAAATTATATTGTTACCAATCAAAAGATGACCATTGAATTGACACAGTGTAAAATTTTCAGAAATTTTTTTTGATGATTGGTTTAAGAGAAACGTGTGTTCAAAAAGTTCGCTATATCGATACCCATCCTTTTATATGCTGATGTCTATTGACAAAGAAGCTTTGTTCAAAAAAAGATTTTCAAGATGGCTGCTGAATTTCAAAATGGCCCTATATGAGACTATATTATGTACTAGGCTCCTGTCAAAATCTTTGAACATCCATGCCAAAATATCAAAGCTTTATGTCAGGAACTTTGGGCATACGGATTCCAACGTATGTTCAGCTTGTACTTGGAAATGGAAGACATAATTCAGGTTATACAATGTTCAGTTTTCATGAGAAACAAAGTTCAGTGTTCTTGCAATTAAATGCATTAAGCCAATTTCTCTGTAGTATGAGTTCAGTATACACCAATGGGGCAAGTTGGGACTCAATGGGGCAAGTGGGATTTTTCCCCATTGGTGTATACTGGCTTAACGCATTATGTGTGTCTTAAGAGTTGAAGTCTAAAAAATTATATGTTTGTGTATATTTGTATTGTATTTGTATTTTGGAAAAGGTAAAAGTGTGAGGGTCGATATTCTGATGCATTCCATATCTACTGAGGTTCTTGGTACATTATGAGCAAGAACATACAGTGTATCGAGGAAAGGTCAGCATGTATCCATCCCAGTCCTGCTCCTGAAAAGTTAACTCATCAGATTAAGCCGTATATTTTAAATTTCAATATCAATTCATTAATCTGCTCAAGCAATATATGAGTGTGAAAATGTCACAAACTTAAAAAGTACTTTTTAAGACTAAGGAATATGTACCTTACAGAATTTTGGAACTCTATGAGGTATTATGTACCTCAGTAGGTATGGAATACATCTATTACATACGGTTGGTTTTGAATACAAGGTTTATCTCTCGAGAAATATGTATATCACATATTTCCCTTGGGAAAAACCCTGTATCCAAAACCTCCCAGTACACAACCCTTATGCCAACTCTCTTTGGTTGCTCTGTATTGTAGCATTCCGTTACCATGATGCATCTTATGATATCTCACCTTGGAATCTTAAAGCTTTCATTATTTCAAGGTGTCCTTAGATGATATTGGTATCATATTAAACCTAATTAAATTCCACATATGGTTAGGATTTGAAAATATGCAAATCAGCTAATTTGCATTAACTGTAACATCATCAATCTTTTTTTAAGGCCTGTGATAAGTAGAACATTGTTCAAATTTTGTTTTGGAACACTCAGAATCCTGCAATCCATTTACTAATGTAAATTAAATTGAAACAAAGAGTCCACATACGCAGGATTTACTGTCACTACGATGTTTGATTGAGTACAATTCAATATCTGTGTAATTCTAAGGGTGAAGGTCATATATAGACATAATGAAGAACTCTAATGAAGCTGTCAAATATATGGTCACACAGGATTTACTGTTGTGTTTCCTATGTTTGAT